AAAAAAAAAAAAATAAAAAAAAAATAAAAAAAAAATAAAAAAAAAATAAAAAAACCCCCAAAACAACCCACAACACACATTACTTCACTTATCAATTATCAATTATCAATTATCAATTATCAATTATCAATTATCAATATGGGGGTTAATTATGTATTCTGCGTGGTGGGATACATAGTTAACCACAAACATGGTGGTTAATTATGAATTCTGCGTGGTGGGATACATAATTAACCACAAATATGGTGTTTAATTATTTATACTGCCTGAAGGTGTAAATAATTAACCATCCGGCTCTAATATACTAACCTCCACGTGGTAGAGCTGGAAACACTCTTTACAAAGAGTGGCTAATAGTATAAAAAAAATATAAAAAATATATATAAATAAAATAAATAAAATAATGGTATTATCAAAACATATCGAGGATTTTTTAGCATTAAAACATATAAAGGATTTTTTAGCATTAAAACTATCGAGGATTTTTTAGCATTAAAACATATCAAGTTTTAATAAAAATATAATCAAAACATAGCGAGGGTTTTTTAGCATTAAAACATATAAAGGATTTTTTAGCATTTAATTATTAAAATTCAACAATTAATTTATTTTTTAGTAAAATTTATTATACACATTCAAGAATATACAATTGGATAGGATCATTCAATAATATAATATCAATTGTGTAGATTTGGATTAAGGTTGATCAAAAAATGGGTTTTTTGTGGATTTTTTTTTATTTTTTTATTTGTATCTTACAAAGAAATAATTTTTGAAAATTGGTGAAACGGAGTGAAGAAATTGTCATATCTCATCATTGGTAAAAAACAATATCCCTAAAATTTTATCCACCCTTACAAATTCCTTTAAAAAAAAATAATAAATAATTTATTAAAATACATATAAAATAATATATAAATTTTTTATTTTATTAATTTAAATATTTTTATTTTTTTTTATAAAATATTTCTTTATGATAATTTTTATTTTTATTCATTTAGAAAAATATAAAACTAAGATTGGATGTCCAAAAAATAAGAAATTCTTTGATATAATTCCTAATTAATATTAATTATTCGTCTTTTATTAAAATTAAAATAAATTCATTTGAAAAAAAAAAAAATTTTATTAAAAAAAAAAAAAAATTTAAATAAAAAAAAAACGAAATATTATTTTTTTTAAATATTAATAATGGTAGTTGGGTCTATTGAAAGAGGAAATTATATTGATAAATATGGATGGTGCAGATTGTTGTCAAACAACATTGAAACTATTCTTGAGTATTCTAAAAAAATAGTGGAGTTAGGTGCTGGATCAGGATATATTAGATGGTTATTAAAAGAAAAAGATAGCAATACCACTATCGATTCATATGACATTAAATCAAACGATACCTCAAATACATTTCAAAGCGATTGGAATCAACAAATATGGGAAAAGGAAGTTCTAGTTGGTGATCACTCAGTATTGGATAATTATGACCAGTCATTCGATTTACTTTTAATATGGCCACCACCCAATAACGATTTAGCAATTAACTCAATACATAAATTTAAAGGAAATAAATTAATTTACATAGGTGAACCTAGAAACGGAATGTGCGCAACATCATCATTTTTTGACGAATTAAACAAAAATTGGACCTTGGTTCATAGGGAACCTGTAAACTCATTCGATAATTTCAAAGACAATTTATTCATTTTTAAAAGGTTACCATGCGACAGTGAATCCAATGTCAACGAAGAAAGAGTATTGATAAATGAACTAACTAAAGAAGAAAACTGCGAAAGATCAATTAAATTAAATTTAGATGATATTGACACATTATTACAAAGTAAAGATATTGAGGAGGTATATGAAGCAAATGAAAAACTAGTATGTATTTATTTTTTTTATTAATAAAATATAAAATAAATTACTAATATTTATTTAGGTATCATGTTTTAAAGATTTATTTTCAATGGTATCGTTATCAGCAACAGTTAGAGATGAATTAAATACATTGCTTAAACAAAGATCAAAGAAACTAGATAAAGCAATGATGAATAAGATTGGTTTCGATGAGGACCCGTTTTCAACTGAAGGTTGCTTAGATTTAAATCGACCACATCAGTTTCTACCAGATAACTGTGTTTTATGTAGCCACACTAGATCTCTCACATCGAATCCAAATAATATTTTCAAAGCATTCAACAGATATGGCAAAATTATAGTCAAATGTAATCATTGTAATATAGAAAATATCGATATTGGTAAATGGGTTTGTTCAAATTTAAATTGTTACAATAATGGTAATAATATACCCCTTTCAAAAGAATCAAAATATAAATGTATAAATAACCACCACAATAAAAATTAAAAATAAAAAAATAAAATTTCAAACACACACATTTTTACCAAATAATTATTATTTGAAATTATTTTAAAAAAAAATTATTAGTTTGATAAATTTGAGAAGAAGGAATAGTGTTTAACAAATAAAGATTATCTTTTGAAAAAGAATCAAAAAGAATTCAAGAGATATTTTTGGATGTATGAATTTTCATTTTATTTAATTTTTATTTTTTTTAAAAAAAAATTTTTAAAAAAAATTTTATTTTTTTATTTTTTTTTTTTTATTTTTTTTTTTCTTAAAAGATTAATTTACCCCAGACCACATAAATTAATACCAATAATAATTTTATCTTTTTTTTTTTTTTTTTTTTTTAACAATAATTTTTATAAAACTAAAAATATAAAATATAAAATATAAAATATAAAATATAAAATATAAAATATAAAATATAAAATATAAAATATAAAATATAAAATATAAAATAATAAAAATAAATAATAAAACAAAGTAGTTTCAATGTATAGAAATAATGATAATAATAATATAATGAATAGTAATAATTTTTCATCACATAGTGATAATATAACTTCACCAACAGATTCATCAAATAAATATGGTTATGATAATGAAGATGATGATGACGATTTAAAGAAATATGTAAATAATAGTAATAATGATTATAATATTCACAGTCGTAATAATAGCAATAATATAATAGTAAATGAACAAAATTTTATAGATGAAGATATGAATGATATATTGTCATCATCAAATACAATGTTGTCACCAAGAGGAAGTTTAGATGGTATTGGGGGTGTAGACGATGTTAATATAGGTATTAAAGATGGCGATAATGCTTCAATACTAAAGCAAATTACATTAAGATCGGTTATTGCAGGTACATTAATTGGGGGTATAATGTGTTTTAGTAATATGTATTTTGGTTTACAAACTGGTTGGGTTACTATGGGTTCACTTCAATCTACTTTATTAGGGTTTTTATTTTTCAAATTAATAGAAAAGCATTTAAAGGTCAGATTCAATCACTTTGAAAATGTTCTTTTACAAACAATCGCTGTTGCAACCGCTACTATGCCATTAGCAGGTGGTTTTGTTGGTATTATTCCAGCATTAAATACTCTATTTAAAGATGAAAACGGTAGTGGCGAATCATTAGAGAAACCTTCTTATTTCAGTTGGTGGGGCTTAATTCTTTGGGCTTTTTCATTAGCTTTCTTTGGTGTATTCTTTGCTGTACCATTACGTAGACAAACTATTTTAGTTGAAAAATTAAAATTCCCTTCTGGTTCTGCAACTGCACAGGTAAGTAAACAAAATTATATAAACATAAAAAAAAAAAATATTAATATTTTTTTTTTTTTTTTTTTTTTAAAAAATAGATGATCAGAGTTTTACATAAATTAAAAAATTCAGAAGTTCATCAAGAAATGTTATCACAAGAATATGAAACAACTGGATTGGTTAGAGGTGAAGAAAGCGACGATAGAGAAGGTACAGAGTTTTTAGATTTAAATTCAAGAGAAATTGATGATGACGATGATGAAGGCAATAATAATGATGACCATGGATTTTCATATGAAAGAAATGAAAAGCAAAGAAAGATTGCTGATGAATGGAATAAAAAAGTTAAAGTTTTATCATATTCATTTTTAGCATCATTCACATACACTTTAGCAAGTTATTTTTTCCCAATTTTACAAAGTATACCAATTTTTGGAGATTATGTTAAAACTACATTCTTTTGGTCTTTAACACCATCACTTAGTTATGTTGGTCAAGGTATGATTATGGGCACAAAAACAGGTGTCTCTGCATTTATTGGTGCCGTTATTGGTTGGGGTATTTTAGGTCCAATTGCAAAAGCTGAAGGTTGGGCAGAGAGTGACAAGAATCAAAGTTCAGCATTAACTGGTGTAAAGGGTTGGATTCTTTGGATATCTTTATTCATCATGTTGTCTGAATCATTAGTGTCATTATTGGTTATGGTAGTCCGTTTAATTTTAATGAAGACTGGTTTAATTAAGAATCAAGGTAAATATAGTGATTCAAATTCAACAGATCCAGCTCCAGAGAATCAACGTGTTCCAAACTCTTGGTGGATTGGTGGTACAATTATTTCCGTTATAGTTTGTGTTGCTATAGTATCACCATTGTTTGGTATCAAGGTATATGAAACTTTAATTGCAGTCGTACTCTCTTTATTAACTAGTATTTTAGCAGTCAGAGCATTGGGAGAAACTGACATCAACCCAGTTAGTGGTATTGGTAAAATCTCACAAATTATTTTCGCATTTGTAGCACCAAAGAATGTTTTATCAAATTTAGTTGCAGGAGCTATCGCAGAAGCAGGTTCACAACAAGCAGGTGATATGATGCAGGATTTAAAGACTGGTCATCTCTTAAAAGCCTCACCAAGAATTCAATTTTATGGTCAATTAATTGGTTCATTCTTTTCAATTTTCTTTGCAGTTGTAGCATATCAATTATATTCATACGCTTATGAAATTCCATCACCACAAATGCAGGCACCAACAGCAGGTATTTGGTATAATATGGCAAAATTGGTTAATGGTGGTGAATTGGCCCATAACGTACTACCATTTTGTATAGTTTTTGCAATCTTAGTTTCATTAATTCCAATTATCGAAGCAGTTAAACCAGAATATGAACATTATTTACCAAGTGGTATTGCTCTTGCAATTGGTTTTTTCCAAACTCCAAATTGGTCCATCACAAGATGTATTGGTTCATTTGTTCAATACTATTGGCAAAAGAAAAATCCTCATAGTTATAGAGAATATATGATTATTGTTGCTTCCGGCTTTGTTTTAGGTGAAGGTATAACTTCAATTTTAACAGCAATATTAAAGGTTATTGGTGTACCTCATTTATAAAATAAATAAAATCATAAAACTATTTATTTATTTAATTTTTTTTTTTTGTAAATTATTTTAACAATATTTGATCAATATTTTATATTTATATTACAGAATACTTTTCAAATAAATATTTTTTTTTTCATATGCATATAAATTAAACCAAAAAAACTATTTTATTTATAGAAATAAAAAAATTACAATTTTAAAAAAATTAAAAATTAAAAAAAATCTTTTTTTTTTTTTTTTTTCAAATTTTCGTCATTTCATAAACAAATAATTTTGGTATATTTACATACACTTATTATATTTCTTTTGAAATAAAATATAAATGTATAACTTGTATAAAAATATTTTAAATAAACCAGTAAAGATATTACCTAAATGTAATATTACAAATATTAATAATAATAATAATAATGGCTTTTATATAAAATCATTTTTCAGTACAAATAACAACCCAAAAACTCCATCTGAAAAAGTAAGCATTTTAAATATTATTATTGATTAAAACAAATTATTATAAATATTAATAGTTTTTTAATAGGAAAAGTTCTATTCATTATCACAATTTCCATATCCATCAGGAAATTTACATATGGGACATGTTAGAGTTTATTCAATATCAGATTGTATTGCAAGATTAAAAAGAATGCAAGGGTATGATGTTATTCACCCAATGGGATGGGATGCTTTTGGGTTACCAGCAGAGAATGCAGCTATAGATAAAAAAGTATCACCAAGTTATTGGACCAATTTAAATATCAATACTATGAAGGATCAATTAAAACGTTTAGATTTACATTTCGATTGGGATCGTGAATTAAGCACTTGTAATAAAGACTACTATCGTTGGACTCAAGATATATTTTTAAAACTTTTTAAAAGTGGGTTAGCATACAGAAAGAGTGCCACTGTTAACTGGGATCCAATTGATCAAACTGTGTTAGCAAATGAACAAGTTGACGCTCAAGGTAGATCTTGGAGATCGAACGCTATCGTAGAAAAGAAGGAAATGAAGCAATGGTTCTTTAAAATTACAGCTATGGCTGATAGATTACATGATGATTTAGATACTTTACCAGGCTGGTCCGATGAAATTAAAAATATGCAAAAAGAATGGATTGGAAGATCACACGGTCATTTAATTACTTTTAAATTCATTAAACCTTCAAATAGTGGCGCTAATTTAGAGCCACTTTCAGATATTACAGTTTTTACAACTAGAGCCGAAACTATATTTGGTGCATCATTTGTTTCAATTTCACCACAACATAAAGAAGTAGAGATCATTAAAAAATACCTTTCAAAAGATAGACTTGCAGAGTTTGAAGACTATTTAGCTAAAGTTGAAGAATTAAAGAAAAAGAATGGCTTTGAAGAAGATGAAAAGAACTTGATGGCATTCAATACAGGTTTAACTTTATTACAACCAATTACAAATAATCAAGTACCTTTAGTATTTTCAAACTTTGTTCATGCTGATTATGGAACAGGTGCAGTTATGGGTGTTCCATCACACAATCGTGCTGATAATCAAGTTGCAAAACAATTAAGTTTACCACTTTTTAATGTAATTGAACCACCTTCTGGAAAGACTTTAGAAGAATTGGGTGACTGTTACGATGAATCCTCTGGATATCTTATTAACAGTGGTGAATTCACAGGTAAATCATTTAAAGAATTTATTTCACATATGGAATCAAAAGAATTAGTTCAGAAACAAACAAATTATCGTATCCATGATTGGTTAATTTCAAGACAAAGATATTGGGGTACACCAATTCCAATTATTATTTGTGAAAAGTGTGGTGATGTACCAGTACCAGAGAGCGAATTACCAGTAGTCTTACCAACAGATATTGAATTCACAGGTAAGGGAAATCTTTTAAATCAACTCGAAGATTGGAAAAAAGTTAAATGTCCATGTTGCGGCAACTCTAATGCTACAAGAGAAACCGATACTATGGATACTTTTGTTGACTCATCATGGTATTACCTCCGTTTCCTCGATAATAAGAACGATAATGCTATGTTTAAACCAGAGATTGTAAATAAATATATGCCTGTAGATGTTTATGTTGGTGGTATTGAACATGCTATTCTTCATCTCTTATATTCACGTTTCTTTACCAAATTCTTAAAAGATCAAGATTTAATTCAACACTCTGAACCATTCAAAGTACTTTTAGCTCAAGGTCTTGTTAAATCACCAACCTATCGTGATGAAGTAACTAATAAACCAATTCATCCAAATGATTTAGAATGGGTCAAAGGTTCAAAGCAACCAATCAACAAGTTAACAGGTAATAAAGTCAACATTACAATTGAAAAAATGTCAAAATCTAAATTAAATGGTATTGATCCAAATGAAATGATCGATAAATATGGTTCAGATACATTAAAATCATATATCCTTTTCAAAGCTCCACCACAAAACTCATTAGATTGGGATAGCGATGGTATCGAAGGTTGTAGAAAATGGTTAAAGAGAGTAGAATCCTTAACCACTCAATTTGTAGAAGAATTTAGTTTAGAATCACCAATTACCCAAGATAAATTCACAGATAAACAAAAGAAAGAATTAAAAGAAATGGAATTTGAAGCTCATTCAACTATTGACCGTGTTACAGAATCAATTGATAAACATTCATTCAATACAGGTATCTCAGCATTAATGCAACTTTCAAATACTTTACAAAAAATACAATTAAAATCAACAAAAGAATATTACAGCTGTTTAAGACTTTTAAATCTCTTACTTTTCCCATATGCTCCAAAATATTCAGAAATAAATTGGAAATTATTAATTGACGATATTAAGAATAAAGACTATGGAGTAGGTCTCGAAGAACAATCATGCGGTAGTTCAAATGACTCTAACATACATAACCAAAAATGGCCAAAACCCTCCTCAAAAGCTTTAACAAGAGATTCAATTTCTTTAGTTGTCCAATTCGATGGTAAAACAAGAGGACTTTTAGAGGATATCCCAGTTAGTGTAACTGATTTTGAATCATTAGTAAAAGAATCCTCAAAATTCTCCAATAGATTTACTGATAAAACTGTTGATAAAGTTTTCATTGGTCAAACAAAAACTGGTTTTTCAATTAACTTTATTTTTAAAAAATAAATAATAAATTTGTACAAATTTAATATATACACAAATATTTTATTTCTTTTATTATATTATAATAATATATTTAAATAATATTATTTATCTGTTATTTACATGTTTTAAAAATTAATTTTATTTATTTATTTATTTTTTATTTTAATTAATTTAATTAAATATGTTTATAAATAATTTTAAATTATTGATTTTTAATTTACGGTATCATCATTTTCTGAAATTTTAAGGAAAACATCCTCCAAACTAGTTTGACTGAGACCCCACTCTTGAATATGATAATGCTCTTTATTTTCAACTAAATGTTTGTAAAGATCTGAAATGACTGTTGTTTTTGGTAAACGATAAACATAACTACCATTGTAATTTTCTGCTAAAATTGCTGATGATGAAAATTCTTTAATTAATTCGGTTGGTGAGTGTGTGTCTACAAATTTCTCATCAATATTAATTCTAATTGAATAACCGTCACCAAATTTAGCTTTTAGATGAGTTTGATTTCCTAAACATTGAAGTTTACCCTGTGATACAATAGCAATACGATTTGATAAATAGTCGGCTTCTTCCATGCTGTGGGTTGTTAAAATAATTGAACGGTTCTTTTTTAATGTGTTGATGGTTTCCCAAAGATTAGCTTTGGTTTCTGGGTCAAGACCTGTAGATGGTTCATCAAAGAATAATAATGAGCTATCACCAGTCATGGCAACTGCAAAAGAGAGTCTTCTCTTCATACCACCACTAAGCTCTTTAACCAAACGATCTTTTACATCAAAGAGATTAACTTCTTTTAATACCATTTCAACTGATTCTATTTCTTTGGCAATTGGTACACCTTTAAGTCTTGCATAGTATAAAAGAGTTTCAACACAACTGAGATCTTCCCAAAATATATCAAATTGCATAGCTACCCCAATAATACGATGAATGGAGTCCATATCGGTACGGATGTCATATCCGCAAATAGTTGCGGTACCACTTGTTGGTTTATATAACCCGGTTAATATTGAAATTGTTGTTGTTTTACCAGCACCATTTGGACCCAAAAGACCTAATACTTCACCACGTTCAATGGTTAAGTGTAAACCGTCTAGAGCTGGCTTTGGACGACCTGGATAATGCTTTGAAAGATTATCAATAACAATTGAGATTTTACTTGGATCATATAATTTTTGTTGAACCTTTTTCTTTTCATTTGAAACATCTTCATCAATAGTTTCATCAAAATTGTTATTTTCTTGGTGATGGTTTAATATTAAACTGGTTTTTTCATTGTATTGTTCCTTTGTTTCTGATTTTGGTTTGATAAATAACTTTTTAATTGGTTCTAAAAAGAACAATGGATGACTTGGTACACCAAACTCTCTTGGTAAAACTTGATCCAAATATAATGCTAAAATTAAATAAACAACTGCATCTATGTAGAGCCAGAAAATAATTTTAGAGGTTTCGAAATCCCATGTATAGCTTTCCCATTTTGGACATAAATCTATACCACATTGAGTACTTAATTGAGAAATACCTCTATAAAATGCAAACAATGGATAAAAGTAATACTAATAAAAAGTAAAGATGTTAATACTATTAATTTATATTATACAATGATATCATAGTACGCTGCTATAGCTAATACTTACTGGTGTAGGTGGAGCAGAATTTAAATAAACTTGAAAACTTAAAAGTGAATTTAAATTTACACTAACAATTACTAAGAAATAGCAAAAGATTGAGGCAGTACGAGTTTTCTTAAAGAAAGTGCTAAGGAAGAAAGAGAAAGAAACCATAGCGTGACCCCATCCAAATATTAATAAAAACATTCCAAATCCTGAACCTTTGGTAAATACAGCAAAATCAAATGCAGAACTTACACCAACGACAAAAACTACAATTATTGAATATAATAAATAGTTGAAAATATAATTCATAATCCAATAGTTTCTTATTTTTAAACCCATCTATAATAAAATAATAATAAAAAAATTAATAAAATATTTATTTATGATTATAACCAAAGTTTTAAAAATATACTAACCATTAAAGATAAATCACGTAACTTTTCTTGTTTTTCAACAACTATTGAAAATACAAATAGTGGTAAGATAAAAGATAAAGCAAATGGGTAAAAGCTACCACCTAAAAGTGAAGCAATATCAACGTTTGTAGACTGTGAATAGGATGGAAGAGAAACTGAATTTACTTGAATGGAAACATTGGTACCATATACATAGTTTATAAATGCTGAATTTAAAACATTTAATGTGAACACCAAATTTTGTGCACTTACACCCCAAAGATATCTTGACTGTGATTCTGTTGAAATATTAACACTTAATTGTTGGTTTTGAACTGAAAAACTATTAAAAGCTAAAGCTGAAGTTGGAAGATTATTGGTAAACATATTATTATTATTTTGATTATCTCGCATTATTTTTTTTTGTAAAAGGATTTCGTTCTCCATGTCGTTGACGTTGTCAAATGAAATGTAATATGGTAAATAAGATTGATTTTTATAAAATTGCTCAAAGGTTTGTGGAGTTGCACCTAAAAGTCCACTGCCTTCACCAGTTGCACTTAATGAACCTATATTTGATAAACCATTTGGATTGGTTTCAAAAATATAAGAAGCCATTGGATCGTAAGAAAATATATTTGATGATGGATTAATTTCGCTGCTGTTTGGGTCAAGATTTGACATTTGAGATTTAATCCAAATTTGAACTATAACTAAAACAATTACCAATATTAATGGAATCGAAATTTGAACACATAATGAACATTTTTGTCTTTTTATAAATGTCGAGTTTTTAAAAAACTAAAAATATAAATTTTAATGTTAATGATAGTGCTAATACTGGTTTTAATATAACAATACTTACCATTGCTCTAAATTGATGTGATTTAGGTTTATCGGCCATTTTTTTCTTTTTTTTATATTATTAATTAATTAATAATAATATAATTAACTATATAAAAAAAAAAAAAAAGTATTTGTGTGGTATTTTATTTTAGATAAAAAAAGAAAATATAATAAATAAAAAATAAAAAAAAATAATAATTTCCCTAAAAAATTATTTTTTTTAAAAAAAAATCAAATTTTTATTTTTTTACATTTTTTTTTATTTTTTTTTAATTTTTTTTATATAAAATCACAGGTTATAACTTTACCAAAAAATAGAGTTAAATACCAAATTACCTAAAAAATCAATAAAAATAATTTTCTATCGAACATTAAAAAAATAAAAAAAAAAAAGATATTTTTTAAAAATAAAAAATTATTCCACCAGTTTTATTTTTTATTTTTTTTTTAAAAAGTGTTTTCATTAATAATTAACACACACATATATATATAACAAATGTCGTATAATCATTTTTCGGACGATAATGATAATACAGATCATTACAGTTCAAGAGGGACATTTGGAGAATCAGTAAATAGAGAATTTCTTCATTTAAAACTTTTACTTAAAAAGAATTTAATAGTAGCATCAAGATCATTGGTTTCTACAGCCATCGAAATATTATCACCAATTGTATTTGTTTTAATTTTATTAGGTATATCAAAAATTAATAATAATACAAGTAAGTAGAGTGTATATAATATTTATATATAAATTATCAAATAACATAATGTAATATCTAACCTTATTATTTTTGTTTATATCTTATATTTAAAACTATTACTTAGATCCAACAATTACATACGATCAACAATTACCAATATGCAAACCATATTCAGAAAATAGATGTTTTAATTTAATGTTTGCACCAATAAATTCAACAGCGACTATCGAGATTATGAAGATTTTAGGTGAGACTAATAATCCAGCAATACCATTATATTTTTATCCAAATGATACAAACGTGTTACCAGATTTAAATAAAACTATTGGTTTATCTTCAGGTATTATTGGTATGGAAAGTGATGATGAAATTTTCGAGTTTACTCTCTCACATCCAAATATTACAATTGGTGGTGTTTCATTTACATCATTCCCAGAAAATTTTACAGTTAATGGCCAAGTCCCAAATGATTCATTGATTACACCCAATCAAAACGAGCTATCATATAATGTTATAGTAAATACAACCTGTCCATTACTTTTTGCTAGCTGTCCAGATTATACCATTCCAATTAATAATGCAATTCAACGTGCAATTACAATTTATTATTCAAGATTAAAAAATAATCAAAATCAAGCAATTAAATCTAATAACACCAACAATATTTTCGATTACACAAGTAACAACTATCCATTGTATCCAGTTCCAGAAACCCTTGCTCAGCAATTTGGTGGCTTATTTTATTACTGTGGTTCAATGATTACTTTTATTTTCCTCCTCTACAAAGTTTCATTCGAAAAAGAACACAAGTTAAAAGTTGGTATGACTATGATGGGTCTTAGTGGTCCAATGTATTGGGTATCCTGGTTTATAAATTGCTTAATTATCGATTTACTTATCACTCTTATCACATTAGCCATCGGTGCAGCTTCTCAAATCAATTTCTTTTTGGGAACCAACTTTTTCGTTCTCTTCTTCACTTTTTATCTCTTTACCATTTCAATGAGTGCTGTTGGCTTTTTCCTTTTAACATTTATTCAATCTACTAAAACTGCAATCGGTATTGGTATGGGTATTTTTATTGTTGGTTCAATTTTCCAACTTATCTTTAGTTCAATGGGTAGCTTTATTTTCCAATTAATATACGAAACCGATAATTCACCAGCATTAGCCGCAAGAATTATTCTTTTCGTCCTACCAATGTTCCACTTTACCAAAATTTTAACTGATATCGGTAATATCACCAAGAACTATCCATCTTCGCACTTCACATGGAGTGAATTAAACACAAATTTAAATTCACAATACCTGGGCACAGTCATTCCAACCACAGGTCAATCTCTAGGCTATTTAATGGTTCTTCTCGTAGCTTATATTATTTTAGCTTGGTACTTTGAACATGTTATTCCAGGTAATGATGGCACATCCCAACCACCATACTTTTTCCTTCTTCCAAGCTATTGGGGCTTTACTTTAAAAAAAGTTAAACACATTCCAATTCCACACTTTGAGGATGAGGATGTTAGACAAGCCACAGAAAAAGCTCACGACCCAAATAATCCAGCTCCAGTTATTATTCGTGGTCTCTCAAAAACATATACCAAACCTTTAAGACCAAAGAAAACTGTTCATGCTGTAAAATTTTTATCTCTTTCAATCGAACAAGGTAGCATTTTATGTTTATTAGGCAGCAATGGTGCTGGTAAGACCACAACCATTTCAATGCTTACTGGTTTAACTGAACCATCATCTGGTGATGCACTTATCTATGGTAACAGTGTAGTTAGTAATATCAATGCTGTACGTAAAATCACCTCAGTAGTACCACAACATGATATTCTTTGGAACGAACTAAGTGCAAAAGAGCATTTAGAACTATTCGCTGAGCTCAAAGGAATTCCAAAACATCAAAGAGAAAATTCAATTAGAGCAGCACTCGACCAAGTTAAACTCACAAAAGTTGCAGACAATAGAATTTCAACTTATTCAGGTGGTATGAAAAGAAGACTTTCCGTTGCAATCGCCTGTATTGGTGACCCAAAGGTAAATAAAAACCACACTCCTCATCAATTAATATTTACTAATATCCATTTTTATATTTTAGATTTTGTTTTGTGACGAACCAACTACAGGTATGGATCCAGCATCAAGAAGACACATTTGGAACCTATTAAAGAATATTAAAAAGGATAAAGTTATTATTTTAACATCTCATTTTATGGATGAATGTGAAATTCTTGGGGATAGGGTTGTTATAATGTCAAATGGTTATATGGCATGTAATGGTAATTCATTACAATTAAAAGCTAAATTTGGAGAGGGTTATTCAGTTAATCTAGTTGCCAAAAGTCAAGAGAGTGTTCCATTTTTAGTGGATTTTGTTCTCAAATCAATTCCAAACTCTAAATTCTTACGTCAAAGTGCTCTCTTGTTAAATTTCGGTTTCCCATTAGAAACAGACTCAAATATAGTTTATAATTTCTTTGGTCAGTTAGAAAAAATGGTTCAAGATGAAAATAATAAGGTTTTAAGAGATTGGGAAATATCTCATTCAAACTTAAATGATGTATTCTTAAAAGTAGCTCATTTATCAAAACAAAAAAATCAATAAATTTTATTTTATAGGCATTCTATAATTAAATAAATAAAAGTAATAATTTTTGATGAATATGACAAAAATTATAAAAAATTAAAAAATTTCTCTATTTTTATTTTTATCTTTTCTAATGATTTATGAAATCTTTGGTTTTTAAGATTATAAAATTATCCTTTTTTTAAGATATATTTTAATTTTTTTTTTTATAAAATCCATTTTTCTAATAATTTTTTTTTTATTTATAAAAAAGAAATTGGTACTCCTATACTTTAAAAAAAAAAAAAATTTTTAATTATTTATTCATGAATAAATATTGAATTAATAATTATATCTCTATTTATAATAAATGAATTTAAATAACAATAACAATTGTGAAATCACTGTTTATATGGATAATGATGATTATCATACCAGTGACAATAATAATAAACAAAACAAAAAATTAAAAACAAATAATGAAAATAATGAAAATAATAAAAATAAATCATTTCCAAATATTTTATATATTAAAATATTAAAATATGCAGTCAAAGATTCAATTAAAAATGAAAAATATTATAGTTTTTATGGAACATTATCATTGGTTTGTAAATCCTGGTCCCTATTCGTTGTTCCACAGTTAAAATTCGAAAAGGTTTTGTTTAAAAATGATGATTATATTTATTCATATTTAAAAGTAAAAGATACAATCAGACACCTTATCAATTCAAAATCAAAGACTGGTTTCAAGTTAAGTGATACAAATAATCAAATTAATGGCTTTTTAAAATTATTACAATCACCCACAGTTACAACCGGTACATACAAAATTTATCATGAGGATGATGAATTAGATAATAAAATTTATATAGACGATAAAGAGTGTGGCACAATCTATAGTCCAGATATTTCCAAAATCGAAAATTTATCAAAACCTTCATCATTTGGCAAAGGTGACCAAACTGTTTATGATGAATCTGTCCGTAAAGGTTACCACATAGAGGGCACTAGGGTTAGAGTTCCATATTTTGACAATTCATTGGGCTATATTCCACATGGTCATTATTTACGTGATAACCCTTATTTCCAACTCAAATTGTATAAGATCCATATTTACAAAGAAGGTGGCCACTTTGATGATCATATTGATACAATTCATTCTATGGACCACGTTGGGACTTATATTGTTCCATTGGGCGAATCAAAATATGAAGGAGGAGAATTTGTTATTTCTAATAATGAAGTATTCGACGAAACTACTCAAGAGTATAGAATAGAGGCCATAAAAGATGAAACCAATTATTGTTACAATTTCAAATGGATTGCTTTCTATAATGACTGTATTCACAAAGTTAAACCAGTTTCAAAAGGAATAAGAATCGTACTTCAGTTCAACATTTACTTAAGAAGTTCTGTTAATGTTAAGGATTTTATTAGAGTCAAAGAAAATTTGACAAGTATGCAAGAAGGTGATGATTACCATTATCAAGAACCAATTAAATTTTCAAAAAAAAACCAGTATCTAACTTATAACTTACCAAAAGATAAAATTATAAAGACAATAAACAGTAATACTAATTATTTAAAACAAGTATCATCAATTTTAGATAAAATAATGAAAGAAAGAGATGTCAATACTGGTTTATTTTTAGTTCATCTCTATAAAGCTCATGTAGATCAAGATCACCTAAAAGGAGTTGATAGGTTAATTTGGGACCAAATGAAACAATATTTTGGTCAAAAAAGAGTCAAGATTCGAACATTTCTTTTAACCAGAACCATGGATTTTAGTTCTGAAGATATCACTAATTTAAAGATTGCAATGGTTTCACCCAAAACAATTAATGAGCCATCAAGACTGATCAAATATGAAGATAAAGAAACTTTGATGTTCTGTGGCAATAAATACAGTAATCTTTACTCTATTTACAGCAAACCTTTACCAAGTACTGGAAATGAAGAAAGAGAACACGAGGATTTAGGATGTTTCTCTGCAATTATCATTTCAAATAAATAGAGAAATTTTATTTACAAAATAGAATTTTTAAAAGATGAACCATACTAATGTTTAAAATAAAAACAATTTTAATATATAAAAATAAAAATTAAAATATTTATATTAATTTATATGTGAATACCTCTATAAATTGGTTGGAGTTTGGTGATGATAGTTTTTTTACTATTTTGTATATTTATTTAAATATTTTTGTTTCTTTCCCCATAATAATAACATATCAAGTATAAAATTTTTTCAGAAATAAATTGTGGTACATTTCTTAATAAGAATCTGTGAAATATAAATGAAAAATAAAAAATTAGAAAAATAATTAAAGATAATGTTCTTTAAGAAATTAATATTAGATTTTTACGCTTCAATTTCGTGAGTCCAATAACCTGTTGTAATCTTCTCGTAACCAATGGTAGAAACAGCTGATCTAGCTAAAGCTTCAGGTGATGCGATGAAAAATGAAGGTTTATTAATTTTAGTCATTTTACTAGCAACAATACCTGGGGTAACACATTGAACAAAAACACCTTTTGGAGCATATTCATAACTTAAAGAAAGTGTGAATTTTTCGATATAAGCTTTAGTTCCACAGTATACAGATAATAAGGGACAACCACCTGGGGCATTAGCAGTTATAGAACCTATGTTAATAATACAACCTCTTCTTTTTTCAACCATACTGTTATATAAATTTAATAAATTAATATATTTATAAATGATGAAAAATCTAATAATTAAATATATAATAGGCATACTTTGGGATAACGAATTTACATAAAACAGTGAGAGGTCTAACATTTAAGTTGATTAAAGATTCAATGACACTTGGCTGTAATTCATCAAAGAGAATTGGATCATATGCGATGCCAACATTATTAACTAATACACCAATATCTAAATCACTGAGTTGTTTGAACAATGCTTGATATTTAGTATCATCGGGTGTGTCAAAATCAAATGAAATAACTTTAGTTTTTACTTGGTATTTTTTTTCTGTAAATAAAAAATATATATTAATAATTTAATTTAAAATCCTCTCTTATTATTTTTCACAAACCAATTTCTGAGGCAACAGAGTCTAATTTTTCTTGGCTTCTACTAACTAAGCAAATTTTGAGTCCTTTTTTAGCAAATTGATGGCAATATGCTTTACCAATACCATCGGTGGCTCCAGTAACCACTGAAATATTCAATTATGAAATTAAAAGAAAGAATGTTAGTAACTACAATATTTACACTATTTTATAAAATAAAATTTATGAAAAAAAAGAAAATAATTTTTTTTTATTTGAATAGTTAAATATTTATATTAAAATTTTGAACTTACCAACCCAACTACCATATTTTTTAATGTTTATTGGAGTTCTAACAGTAAAAGCAAAAACGAACATAACTAAATAATAGGCAAATCTGAGAATAACACCTAAACCAATGGCTAGAGAAAAACTTTTAATAACTTCAATCATTTTTTCTTTTAATTTTATTTATAATCTTTAATATAATAAAAGAAGAAAAAAAAAAAAAAAATTTTAAAATTAAACAGATAATTTTAAAATTTTTTTTAAAATAAAAAATTAAAAAATTTATTTTACTTTTATTTTTTTAAAAATAAAATCTTATCTGTTAAAAATAAATCAAATTAATTCATAAAAAAAATTAAAAAGGAAAAAAAAAAAAGTTTTTTAAAGATAATTTTAGTTTTTTAAAAAGTTATCTGTTTAATAACATAATAAAATATTAATTATATTTAAAAATGAACTACTATCTGCTGACGACTTGATATACTAGAAGATTAATTAAAAATAATACATTTAATCACCTCAAGGTGACCGGTTATATAAACCATTTGAATTTGCTTTTGAATTTCAATACCTTTGCAAATAATGTCCTAGTGTTTTGTTTTTTTTCAAATCTTCACTGATTTAATTACTGCTCAACAATTACCAGAATCTTTATCCATTTCATATAAAGTTTGATACTTTTTACATTATTTTGTTACATTGATTAAATGAGAAAATAGAAAATTGATATTAAATCAAAAAATAACTTTTTAATAATTTAAAAATAATAAAATAATTTTACAATATTTATTTATAACTTTATATTTATTAATTCTTGAAGTGATGACAAAGATCTTCCTATCTACCACTGAAATAATATTCTGACATGTCTAATTCTTTTTTTGTTATTACATTTCCTAAACCTTCTCTTGCAGCATTTAATAGCAAACCATGATCTTGATCGATGGTGTAAGTGAATAAACCACCCAAATTATTTCTTACTACATACTCTCCTTTGGATTTAACGGATCTTGGGGTATCGATGGACATAAATACCATTGAATTAGCGTTGTATAAGAAATCTGCATCTCCTACTTTATCTGTGAATAGAGTGAAATCATTTTTTCCTGATTTAGAATTAAAATCTAAATAATTATTTAAAATATCGTAGTATTCAGTGACCCCACTCTCAAAAGTGCCTACTGTATCTTCTAGTGGAGAGTAAGAACCTCTGAGAGGTGAGCTACTTGATATTACAGCATTTTTAGCATTACGACTATAGGCAGCATAACCAATAAACAAACTCTTTGATGGGATCATTAATTCATGTATTAAATAATTAACGACTACATCAATACCAAAGCTAGTTTGATCTTGGGGGTTTGATTTGAGGTTGGTATGATGAGCCAATGAATCAGACCATGGAGTTCCGAAAAAGTCAAAAGTCATAATTTTAATATAACTAACACCAGCCTCCATTAAAAGTGGAATATTAGCAGCTTGAATCTTTTTAATGTTTCCAGATGCTGCAATACTGATTTTAACATCATTACGACTATTAGATGAAAGAGAACTTTTGACATTTTTAATTAATTCAGCAAAATTTTTTGGATCTTCAGAGCCATCATCACCTGGGTACTATATTACTTAATTAATATTATATTATTATAAAAACATAATCAAAAACAATACTTACTTCCCAATCGAGATCGATTTCACCAATCATTGGAAATCTTTTTAAGAGATCAGCAACACCATTTGCAAATGTTGTTCTTTTTTCAGATGATTTTACCAATTCATGGAATGGTCTAGACAATTCCCTACCTCCAATGGAAAGTGAGATTACAAGATTTGGATTTTTTTCTTTCAATTTACGAAGACCACCAAGAAGACCTTGACATTTATTTTGAGAAAAACATTCTAAAACATCAGAACTGAGCCACCCATCGAAACCAACATTACGAAATGATAATAAATCACCCCAACTATCTATAAAAATTGGTTCATTATCTTTTTTGTTGAGTTCTTTAGCAGCTCTTTGTATAGCTTCTTTCTTTTCACCCTGGTCACCAACTATACCACAAAATCCAATGATGATTTTATCATATGCCTCTGGGTTAACATTCATTAAATCACGTCCTCTACCTGCTTCTTCATATTGACCATCTAAACGAGAATCATATTGACCTGTTTTAAAAAAATTATTAGTATATACTTTTATAAAACAATTTTTAATTATAAAAATATTTACATCCGTCAGTATAATAGCCAAAAACTTTAAAATCATTCTTTTCATATGTGTTATATAATGGTTTTCCAACTCTTGCTGATGTATAAGAAAACTTTGAATCCTCAGATGAGGGATTAAAGTTATTCTTTTGATAAGTTTGTTCAGTTAATCTATCATTTAATATTAATTCCTGTGACATTTTTTTATACACAAATTAAAAAATAAAATAATTTTGATAACACATATGAAATGTATTTAAATAGTAAAATTTAAAAAAAAATAAAAATAAAAAAAAATAAAAAAATAAATTTGTAAATTGACCCCCAAATCATTCAAAAAATAGTTCAAAAACACTTCACTATTAATTTTTTAATTTAAATTTTCAAATAATAAATTCATTGAGGATTTTGATTGGATATGTTTTATGTGAAGTGTAATATTTTTTGTAAACTTTTAAATTATGAAAAGGTTTCTTTATAATTATATTGCTTTGTATAGAATCTATCTTTTGGGGAACCAATGAAATGATAAATTAATTAAAAATAATATTAATTAATTTTTTATAAATTTTTATCTTTGATTTTTAATGATTTTTTTTTTTGTGTAATATAAAATAATTATTGACTCAATAGTATTCACCAGTAGAAGGTTTGTCCAGGGAATTTAATTAAAATTCTTTTCTATGGTAATACCCACCAAACAATAGATAAACACATCAGATAAATTAATTAAAAAAGGGATTAACAAAAAAAAAAAGTAAAAGAAAAAACTAACCTAAAAATATGGTATACCAATAAATGCCAAATATTTCTAAAAATGGAGGAAAAAATCAAAGTAATTGAAAAAGCTCTCTCCATGATGCATAGTTGGGTTTTTTATTGATTTTCAACATAATTTTAAAATTATTAACTGATTTTTTTTTTTTAAAAAAAAAAACGAATACCAATATAAGACTAAGCAATTGACTTCAAAAAACACTTATAAGATCCAAAACTAAAAAAAAAAGTTTTTCTAAAAATAATAACCTAAATTGTAATCCCTATAAATTTTGTAGGACCGAATGTGAGCGTTGTGAGTTTATCTGGTAATGAGGGGGGTAGAAATTTTTCTTTAAAATGACGACCGAGTGTGAGTGTTGTGAGACTATTTGGTAATGTGCCAGGTGGAATTACTTGGTTAAAACTATCACCGAATGTGAGTGTTGTGAGATTATTTGGTAATGTGCCGGGTGTAATTACTTTGTTAAAACTATAACCGAATGTGAGTGTTGTGAGACTATTTGGTAATGTGCGGGGTGGAACTGTCTGGTTAAAATGACCACCGAATGTGAGTGTTGTGAGGCTATTTGGTAATGAGCCGGGTAGAACTACTTGGTTAAAATTATAATCAAATGTGAGTGTTGTGAGACTGTTTGGTAATGTGCCGGGTGTAATTACTTGCTTAAAACGATTACCGAATGTGAGTGTTGTGAGACTATTTGGTAATGTACTGGGTGGAACTACTTGGTTAAAACAGTAACCGAATGTGAGTGTTGTGAGACTATTTGGTAATGTGCTGGGTGTAATTACTTGGTTAAAATTATCACCGAATGTGAGTGTTGTGAGACTATTTGGTAATGTGCGGGGTGGAACTATCTGATTAAAATGATGACCGAATTTGAGTGTTGTGAGACTATATGGTAATGAGCCGGGTAGAACTACTTGGTTAAAACAAAGGCCGAATGTGAGTGTTGTGAGACTATTTGGCAGTGTGCCGGGTGTAATTATTTGGTTAAAATTATCACCGAGTGTGAGTGTTGTGAGACTATTTGGTAATGTGCCGGGTGTAATTACTTGCTTAAAATTATCACCGAATGTGAGTGTTGTGAGACTATTTGGTAATGTTCCGAGTGTAATTACTTGGTTAAAACTATAACCGAATGTGAGTGTTGTGAGACTATTTGGTAATGTGCCGGGTGTAATTACTTGGTTAAAATTATCACCGAATGTGAGTGTTGTGAGACTATTTGGTAATGTGTCAGGTAGAACTACTTGATTAAAACGATTATCCAATGTGAGTGTTGTGAGATTATTTGGTAATGTGTGGGGTGTAATTACTTTGTTAAAACTATAACCGAATGTGAGTGTTGTGAGACTATTTGGCAATGTGCCGGGTAGAACTATTTGGTTAAAATGACGACCGAATATGAGTGTTGTGAGACTATTTGGTAATAAGCCGGGTGTGATTACTTGCTTAAAATCATCACCGAATGTTAGTGTTGTGATACTATTTGGTAATGTGCCTAGTGGAACTGTCTGGTTAAAACGAGTACCGAATGTGAGTGTTGTGAGACTATTTGGTAATGAGCCGGGTGTAATTACTTGGTTAAAATCATGACAGAATCTGAGTGTTGTGAGACTATTTGGTAATGTGTCGGGTGGAACTATCTGGTTAAAATGACGACCGAATGTGAGTGTTGTGAGACTATTTGGTAATGTGCCAGGTGTAATTTCTTGGTTAAAACTATAACCGAATGTGAGTGTTGTGAGATTATTTGGTAATGTACCAGGTGGAGCTATCTGGTTAAAATTACGACCGAATATGAGTGTTGTGAGACTATTTGGTAATGCGCCGGGTGTAATTACTTGATTAAAATCATGACAGAATCTGAGTGTTGTAATTGTATTTGGTAAAGTGGTTGGAGTTAACATTTTAGAAAAACTGTTCAAATATAAATTTGTCAAAAATGGTGGAAATTCATTTTTATCTGGTAGTGGATCACCACCCCACTCAAGTGTTGTTATATATGATTTATCTTTAAACTCGTCATAACGTGATATATCAAGATCTACAAACCTATGTTCAATAAACTTTAAAATATGTTTATGAATTTCTTTTCTTATTATTATATTATTCCAAACTTTATATAATAATCTATAATAAATAGTTAAAAAGAGAAAACACCAATTAATATGCTTTTATTTATATTATTATATTGTACTTACCTATCACTAATATTACTACTGTTTTTTAACTCTTCACTAATGGGAAATTTATCTGGGAGACAAATTATCATGCCAAAAAGCTTATCCATTGTAAACATAAACAAATAAATTAAAAAATTTTTAAATAAATATTTTAAAAAAAATTTCCCAAAAAAAAAATTATAAAAAAATGTTGAAATCTATCCAATAAAAAAAAGATTTTTTTTTGTTTTAAAAAATAATTTTTATCTTCAGTTTTTACCAATTATTGGGTGTTCTCTCAATATTCTTTAGTATAGTTACCTTATAATTATGAACATACGAACGTAGACTTAAAATAGAGCGTGATGAATTAATTAAACTAAATATGAAATAAATGTTAGTTTATTTTATATTTAAATTTAATATATGTAAATATAAACACTATCATTACATTAATAATATATATGCCTTATTCTTGACATTAAAGAAAGAACCTGATACTGAAAGAGATAGAATTATAATTATATTATATTAGAATTGATGAACATAATAATACTGAAAGAGAAAGAACTTTAATAATCGATATAAGAATTAAAAATAAATATTAGTTTTTTTTAAATTTAAATCTAATAATTATGTTAATACTAATATTATAGTTACCTTAATAATATAAATTCCCTACTATTGACATTAAGAACCTGGCAATGCTGAAAGAGAAATAACTATAATAATACTATATAAGAAATAAAATAAAATATTAGTTTCATTTATATTCAAATTTAATAATATTTTAATAAATATAAAAATTATGCCTACAATAAGAGGAGAACTTGTTTGTGGAACCATGAGAACTTATAGTACGTATTTTTGTAGATTTGAAGCTAATGTGATGAAAATTAATGCTGAAAATGTTGAAAACGATGAGAATGTTTGTCCGATGATGATGTTTTCAGTTTTAACCTTTTTTGATTTGTCTATTATTCCGTTTTCATATGGATAGTATATTATTGATCTATGTCTATGTAATCATTGAATTCATAAGTGGCCAGCAAATTCTTGATCAATATCCATGAAAAGTAATAATTCCTATTTGAAACGGTTATGGAAATCTAATCGATATCCATACTGTCATAAATTTCCAACTCGACTTCTGAATCGTTGGAATTTGAAACATCATTATTTTAAGCAGGTGAACCTTGATTATCGCCAACAGCATTATCTTGATTATTAATTTGATTTTCACCTTGGTTGCCTTGCTCTACATTAGCTTCATTTTGTTGGAACCATTGACTTGATTAACTCTCAATTAAATAATAAATTATATTAATATATATGTTTTATTTACAGCGCTTGGATTATATATTAGACCCCAACTTTTATAAAATGGAAATAATAATTATTGAATTAATAGATCATATTTTATTTTTATATAATGACCCCTAAAACAAATCATATTACAAGATATTGGTTTATTTGCTAAAAAATTTAAATAAAAAAATAAAAAAATATGGTCTTAATATTTTCAATTTCTAAAATTATATTTTTATTTTATTTGTTTTTTTTTTACAATTATATATAATAAATGATTATTATTATTTAATATTTAGTATATCCTCCATGTGCTTTTAATATGGCATCCATTCGGTCAGGAAGTGATTCATATAATTATTTTATAATTGATTTTTCTATTGAATGAAATGCATCTTGACATACTAAAACTTGTTCTTGTGATGGGTCACGAAACATCTTTTTTGATACCCTTTCTTTAACAATTGACCTAAGATTTTCAATTTTATTAAAATTTGGACTGTAGGGTGGTAATGGACAAACTTGTATATTATTCTCTTCTAAATATTGTTTCACAAATCTTTGCTGTATGCGAACTACAGTTGTCATGACAAATGATTGGCACCCTCTCACTATTTTTATCTGCATATTATTCCAAAGTTAGTTGTGTATCGTTTTGCATAATTTCAAGATATAGTTTAGTTCAAAATCCATTTGATAATTAATAAATTCGACCATAATAAAGAAAATTTCCCGAAAATATTTAATTAACCCCACCCTTTCTAACATTTGTCTTGATATGTGATTCTAGTAAAACATTATTTTAATAAGCCCAAGAAGACCTACCATGGTTATTATCAAATTATTGGAACTTTACTTCATCCATAAACATATAATTTTCTCATTATTCCACAATAAAATTTAAATACACAACTTCAAAAAAAAAATTTTTCTTCTATTATGTCTAATCAATGAAGGATTCTTATCTTTCTTTTTATATTATGTTATATCTCTTTAATATAATTCTTACTGACTTGTACGATGACTATTTTTTTCGAAAAAAATTAAAAATAGATAAAAGTGGATAATAAAAAATTAAAAAAAGATAAAAAAAGGATAATAATTTATAAAAAAAAAAATAGAATTGTTATAAAAATTAGATTTATATATAACATCTGGGAATTTGGTAAAAAATTTTAAATTTTCAACAACTAGATTCTCTCCTTACTTGTAATCTAAGTATTGCATTTTCAGCAAATATGTTTCCATTGAAGGAAAAGAATAATTGGGTTTTTTATTGATTTTCAACAATTTTTAAAATTATTAACTGATTTTTTTTAATAATCCCTATATAAAGTTTGTGTGACCCAATATGAGCGCTGTGAGTTTATCTGGTAATGAGGGGGGTAGAAATTCTTCGTTAAAATGATCACCGAGTGTGAGTGTTGTGAGACTATTTGGTAATGTGCCAGGTGGAATTACTTGGTTAAAACTATCACCGAATGTGAGTGTTGTGAGATTATTTGGTAATGTGCCGGGTGTAATTACTTGGTTAAAACTATAACCGAATGTGAGTGTTGTGAGACTATTTGGTAATGTGCGGGGTGGAATTGTCTGGTTAAAATGACCACCAAATGTGAGTGTTGTGAGGCTATTTGGTAATGAGCCGGGTAGAACTACTTGTTTAAAATTATAATCGAATGTGAGTGTTGTGAGACTATTTGGTAATGTGCCGGGTTTAATTACTTGCTTAAAACGATTACCGAATGTGAGTGTTGTGAGGCTATTTGGTAATGTGCCGAGTGTAATTACTTGGTTAAAACTATAACCGAATGTGAGTGTTGTGAGAATATTTGGTAATGTGCCGGGTGTAATTACTTTGTTAAAACTATAACCGAATGTGAGTGTTGCGAGACTATTTGGCAATGTGCCGGGTAGAACTACTTGGTTAAAATGACGACCGAATATGAGTGTTGTGAGACTATTTGGTAATGCACCAGGTGGAATTACTTGGTTAAAATCATCACCGAATGTGAGTGTTGTGATACTATTTGGTAATGAACCGGGTGGAACTGTCTGGTTAAAACGAGTACCGAATGTGAGTGTTGTGAGACTATTTGGTAATGTGCCGGGTGGAACTACTTGGTTAAAATCATGACAGAGTCTGAGTGTTGTGAGACTATTTGGTAAAGTGTCGGGTGGAACTATCTGGTTAAAATGACGACCGAATGTGAGTGTTGTGAGACTATTTGGTAATGTGCCAGGTGGAATTACTTGGTTAAAACTATCACCGAATGTGAGTGTTGTGAGATTATTTGGTAATGTGCCGAGTGGAACTATCTGGTTAAAACTATTACCGAATATGAGTGTTGTGAGACTATTTGGTAATGCGCCGGGTGTAATTACTTGGTTAAAATCATGACAGAATCTGAGTGTTGTAATTGTATTTGATAAAGTTGTTGGAGTTAACCTCATAGAAAAACTGTACAAATATAAATTTGTCAAAAATGGTGGAAGTTCATTTTTATCTGGTAGTGGATCACCACCCCACTCAAGTGTTGTTATATATGATTTATCTTTAAACTCGTCATAACGTGTTTTATCAATATCTACAACCCCATGTTCAATAAACTTTAAAATATGTTTATGAATTTCTTTTCTTATTATTATATTATTCCAAACTTTATATAATAATCTATAATAAATAGTTAAAAAGAGAAAACACCAATTAATATGCTTTTATTTATCTATTTTTAACATTATTATATTGTACTTACCTATCACTAATATTACTACTGTTTTTTAACTCTTCACTAATGGGAAATTTATCTGGGAGACAAATTATCATGCCAAGAAGCTTATCCATTGTAAACATAAATAAATAAATTAAAAAAATTTTAAATAAATATTTTAAAAAAAAATTTTAAATAAATATTTTAAAAATTTCCCAAAAAAAAAAATTTATATCTTCAGTTTTTACCAATTATTAATTATTGGGTGTTCTTTCAATGTTCTTTAGTATAGTTACCTTATAATTATGAACATATGAACGTAGACTTAAAATAGAGCTTGATGAACTTGAAAGAAACTAAATATGAAATAAATGTTAGTTTATTTTATTGGTGGTAGTTGTATTGAGTATTTATTGGTGGATGAATTTATAACTGGTGATGAATTTGGTGTAGTATTATTTGATGATGAGGAAGCTGCAGTTGGTTTGATCTGATGTTGACATTTCGACATTAAATATAGCTTGGAGGTGGAGCTGGTTTAGCTGATGGTTTAAATTGTGTAGATGGGGCAGATGATGATAAGTTTTTTTTATTTGTTTCCAAACAATTGAAAAGGAATTTTAAAAAATTGTTTGGATCTTTATAATTTTTATGAAAAAAGAATAAAATAATTTCAAATAAAAGTAAAACATCACCACTTGAGCTATGACGATTGATACCATTGGTGTTGATTTTAAAAAAGTTGTAGATTATCCAATGAATATGATTCCTTTTATTATCTGAAACCACTGGTAACATTAATTTAATTGATTTGAAGATGTTAATAGAATCGAAAAATTTAATTCTGCTAATGGTTTTATGGAATGATGATTCTAAAGCTTTAGTTGATTTTGTTAAATGAAAGGCAATTCTACCTCTGTCATACTTTTCATTGTAAATTATAATAATTATAAAAAAAAAAAAAAAAAATTAAAAAAAAAATAATACTATATGAAATTAAAGAAAATTTTCTTTATTTAATTTAATTATTAAAACTATTAATTATTAAAATTTATTTATTAAAAGATTATTTAATTAAAATTAAAAAATTCCTCTTCAACCTTTTCCCAATATTGGTGACCTGTTAAATCATGGCTTGTGAGATTGTTGATTTTGGTAGACTCTGGAGTAATGGAGATGGTTGGGTTTGGTTTACGATAAAATGCTTCCCCATTTAAACAAGCACACAAAAGTTCAATAATTTCTGCATTGGAAGTAAGACCAGTTGTTTCAGAATCTAAAATGAAAATATTGCATTTCGATTGATCAGGTTGTGTTTCAAATTTTCTAAACACCATTAAATTGGTTTTTGAATTTTTCTTGATCTTCCAAAACTTGTTTATACTTTTGAGTATCTTCTTTAGATAGAATTCGATGTGGTTGGGTTACGTGAGAGTCATAAGATGCGCTGTTTGCAAACATTGCCAGGCAACCATCAAAAATACACACCTGAAGTGCAGTTATGCCACTGGCCTTGAATCTGGCTTGTTCATCAAAACATGAAAGCTCTAATGGAAAGTATTCTTTTCAAATAAAATGTTAAGTTATTACTCTTCTTCTTTCATCTGCACTCATTGAATCAGTAAAGGGAAATGATGAATCTTCAGATTCTTCATATTCATCTGGTTCAATAATTTCAATAATTCTTTCGAAAACTCTTCTTCTCTGTATTTGGATACTAATTTAACACTTTCAGGTATTACATTTCCATCAAGTTCTGTTTGAAGATTACCATAACATTTATTTACTTTTTTTATTGAAGCTTCATAATGGTTGTTGTTCTAAATGTTTTTGTAATTCGATTATTTCTATCAAATCTTGTTTTGAATAAAAAGGCCAAATATCATCTAAAGTAAACATCCCAACAATTAATACAAATTATAATCATAATTAGTTTTTTTGAAAAAAAAAAAAAAAAAAAAAAGATTAAATATTACTAAAAAAAAAAAATTTTATTTTTTTTGAATTAAATTTTTTTTTTTTTAATTCTTAATTTTATTTATAAAAAAGAAATTGCACTGGTGCAACACTTTTCTTTAAAAAATTTTTAATTATTAATTCATGAATAAATATTGAATTAATAATATAATTATATTATATCTCTATTTATAATAAATGAATTTAAATAACAATAACAATTGTGAAATCACTGTTTATATGGATAATGATGATAATCATACCAGTGATAATAATAATAAACAAAACAAAAAATTAAAAACAAATAATGAAAATAATGAAAATAATAAAAATAAATCATTTCCAAATATTTTATATATTAAAATATTAAAATATGCAGTCAAAGATTCAATTAAAAATGAAAAATATTATAGTTTTTATGGAACATTATCATTGGTTTGTAAATCCTGGTCCCTATTCGTTGTACCAAAGTTAAAATTCGAAAAGGTTTTGTTTAAAAATGATGATTATATTTATTCATATTTAAAAGTAAAAGATACAATCAGACACCTTATCAATTCAAAATCAAAGACTGGTTTCAAGTTAAGTGAAACAAATAATCAAATTAATGGCTATTTAAAATTATTACAATCACCCACAGTTACAACCGGTACATACAAAATTTATCATGAGGATGATGAATTAGATAATAAAATTTATTATTATGATAAATTAGATAATAAAATTTATATAGACGATAAAGAGTGTGGCACAATCTTTAGTCCAGATATTTCCAAAATCGAAAATTTATCAAAACCTTCATCATTTGGCAAAGGTGACCAAACTGTTTATGATGAATCTGTCCGTAAAGGTTACCACATAGAGGGCACTAGGGTTAGAGTTCCATATTTTGACAATTCATCGGGCTATACTCTACAAAGTCATTATTTATGTGATAACCCTTTTTTCCAACTCAAATTGTATAAGATCCATATTTACAAAGAAGGTGGCCACTTTGATGATCATATTGATACAATTCATTCTATGGACCACGTTGGGACTTATATTGTTCCATTGGGCGAATCAAAATATGAAGGAGGAGAATTTGTTATTTCTAATAATGAAGTATTCGACGAAACTACTCAAGAGTATAGAATAGAAGCCATAAAAGATGAAACCCATAATTACTACAACTTCAAATGGATTGCTTTCTATAATGACTGTATTCACAAAGTTAAACCAGTTTCAAAAGGAATAAGAATCGTACTTCAGTTCAACATTTACTTAAGAAGTTCTGTTGATGTTAAGGATTTTATTAGAGTCGAAGAAAATTTGCCAGGTATGCAAGAAAATTTCAATTATCAAGAACCAATTAAATTTTCAAAAAAAAACCAGTATCTAACATATAACTTACCAAAAGATAAAATTATAAAGACAATAAACAGTAATACTAATTATTTAAAACAAGTTTCATCAATTTTGGATAGAATAATGAAAGAAAGAGATGTCAATACTGGTTTATTTTTAGTTCATCTCTATAAAGCTCATGTAGATCAAGATCACCTAAAAGGAGTTGATAGGTTAATTTGGGACCAAATAAAACAATATTTTGGTCAAGAAAGAGTCAAGATTCGAACATTTCTTTTAACCAGAACCATGGATTTTAGTTCTGAAGATATCACTAATTTAAAGATTGCAATGGTTTCACCCAAAACAATTAACGAGCCATCAAGACTGATCAAATATGAAGATAAAGAAACTTTGATGTTCTGTGGCAATAAATACAGTAATCTTTACTCTATTTACAGCAAACCTTTACCAAGTACTGGAAATGAAGAAAGAGAACACGAGGATTTAGGATGTTTCTCTGCAATTATCATTTCAAATAAATAGAGAAATTTTATTTACAAAATAGAGTTTTTAAAAGATGAACATACTAATGTTTAAAATAAAAACAATTTTAATTTTAATTTTAATAAATAAAATAAAAAATATTTATATTTATATTTATTTATATTTGAATACCTAAATAAATTGGTTGGGTTTTTAAATAATATTAAACAATAAAAATTTATTTTTTTAAAAATTTAAATAATTTGCTACTTGTTTTTGTTGATGTTATTTAATTGATAAATGATAATTTAGATTTGGAAGGCCGAATGAATCGATGAATGAATAGAGTTGGATGGATTGCTGTTCTTATTTTTTTATGACATGATTATTGTTTTTATATCTATATTTTATTGTCATATTAAAGTGATTTATAATATTGTCATTAAAATTATAAACTATATAAAATATTAATTTATAATTTAAAATCTATTATTTAAATATTATTAAAGTTTGTAATATTTGTTTTGTAATTATAATCATTATTTGAATATGATTTATTATTTTCATTATATAAATGATAGTATCTAAATTTATATCATTATAGTTATTATTATTATTATTTATATTATTATCATTTTTATTTTCATAATCGTTATTTATATTTATATTAGTGTGTTGAAATAGAAAGAATTCAAATTAAACTTATTAAGTTTTAAAATTAAATATTAGTTCCTTTTGTATTCAAATATAATAATAGCTATATTAATTTAAATACCCAATGAATGATGAATGACCTGAAAACAAAAACCCTAATTAAAAAGAACAATCTAAACCCCAATGAATTATAAGTTACTTGAAAAAACCCCCAATTTTTGATAAATGACTTGAAACCCACAATTAGAATAAATTAAACCCCAATATTTGATGAATGACTTGAAAACCACGTTTAAAAAGAATATGCTGAACCCCAATGTATAATGAGAGACCTGAAAACCCCAATTATAAAGAATATATGGAACCCCAATATTTAATGACTTGAAAACCCCGATTAAAATGAATATATCGAACCCCAATGTTTGATGAGTAACCTGAAAAAACCCCAGTGTTTGATGAATTACTTGTAACTACAATTAGAAAGATTATACGGAACCCGATTTAATAGGAGATATGGAACCCTCCAATGTGTGATTGATTACTTGAAATAAATAACGTATTGAAGCTGAAAAAGAATGAATAAACTTGAACTAAATAAGTATTAAAATTAGATATTAGTTTTTTTATATTCAAATTTAATAATAATTATGTATTGGCAACCTCTTAGGCACTTTATTTATATCTGCATATTATTTTAAATTTATTTGTGTATCGTTTTTTATAATATCAAGATATTGTTTAGTTCAAAATCTATTTGATAAATGAATAAATAAATTGAACCAAAATAAAGAAAATTTCCCAAAAATATTTAATTAACCCCACCCTTTCTAACATTTGTCTTGAAACGTGATTCTAGTAAAACATTAGTGTCATAAGCCCAAGAAGACCTACCATGGTTATTATCATATTATTGGAACTTTACTTCATCCACAAACATATAATTTTCTCATTATTCCACAAAAAAATTTATATGCACAACTTCAAAAAAAATCTTTTTCTGCTATTATGTCTAATCAATGAAGGATTCTTAACTTTCTTTTTATATATTATGTTATATCTCTTTAATATAATTCTTACTGACTTGTATGATATCGTTCCAAATCCATTTTGTTCATACCAAATTATACTTTATTTTATATTGTTAAATTTACTATTTTAAAAATTGAAACGTAAATCACGTTTATCACGTTTATCACGTGAGCCAAACTTTCTTTTCTCCCATGACGTTTACGGTCATTGATTGTGCCTGTTTGTTCTACCATTTCTAATGTTTTTGCTACTGTTGATTTATGCACTCCAATTTTTTTGCAATTTTTGAGTTCGACTTGTGACCTCTGTTTTTATATGATAATATTGAGTATCGAACTTCATCACCTAACCTCATTTTGTTTATTTACTATATATAATTTTTAAACTTATACTAACATTTAATTATTAAATTAATGATAAAAAAAATATAAAAATTTTAAAAATAAAAATGTGGTAAAAAATATAGAAATTTTTTTTTTTTATTTTTTTATTTTACTCACACTAACAATTATAATATTATTAATTATTATTGGCGATAAGGTTCTTCATATAAAATTTATTATTGGTAAATCTTATTTTATAAATAATTTAATAAAAGTTGGGGGTCTACATATATAATTATATTTCAAAAAAAAAAAAAAACCATAAAATAAATCATATAAAAAAAAATAAATAAAATGTTTAAAAAAAATTAAAAAAATTTTTAAAAAAATTAAAAGAAAGGAGGAAAAGAGAAAAATTGTGATGGGTGTGTTTGTGCTGTTATTTTAAATCTATTTGCAAATTTTAAAAATCGATAAAAAAGAGATAACTTTTAAAAAAAATTTTTAAATAAATAAGATAACGATAATGGGTAAAAACTGAGAATAAAGATAATTTTTAATCTCTATTATATAAAAAAAATTAAAAAATCCATCTATTTTTATTTTTTAATTTTATTATTTTTATCTTTTTCTAATCAATATTTACTAGCAATAATCATAATCAATATTTAGCCATAGGATCTTCATCACCATCATCATAAATTAGGAAATTTAAAGAAGAAATTATAACCTTTTTTTTTTCTTTTATATTTTTTGAATATTAAAATTTTTTTATTTTTTTTTATTATTTTCAGTAAAATTTTTAATAATAATATGAAGTGATTGTGATATATTATTGATTTGTAATTGTTGTATTGTAATTATATTTCTACCTATTTGTTTATCAATCCAGTTCTTTAATTGAACAATAACTAAACTATCGAGACCATATTGATTTAAATGTAATTCCAAGTTGATTTTTGACTCCTCAATTGAAAGTAATTCTGATATTTTATTTATAATTTTAATTTTTATATTTTCGTTACTTTCACTTTCTAAAAATATTTGTGATTTCTTAACCATATTGGTTTGATAGTCAAGTTTAGAAAAGTTAAAATTAGGTTTTGAAGATACCATATTTTCAAAATTAAAATTACACAAACAATAGTTAGAATAATTTTTATTTTGAATGAAGAGATCTAATGAGCTTAAAATTAGTTGTGAGGAAAAAGTTTTTAAATTCGAACTATTGAACATTGTTACGATTGCATCATTTCTTGAAACAAAACCAGTTGATGATATTGCCCCTAAATTTATTGATAATGATGGTAGTCCAATTGATTTCCTATATTTTGATAATGAGTCAATTGTATTGCATGAACTAACATAACAACATTGTCTGTCTGATCCTAAAATTGTAATAACAGATGATGCCATTATAAATTGTTTTAATTTCCATGAACGTTGAATTGATTCATTGTGTAAATTGAATGCACCAATAGTTTTTGGACCATGTGAGATATTTAAACTATTCAAATCAATATCCTGAACATCACTAACCTCATTTACAAATGCAAAGTGTATTACTGTATCGATATTTGTAATGTTTGAATTGGATTCTAGATTGTTTAATACAATATGAAATTTATTACTATCTTCAATATCGATTTGATTAAAGTGGAAATTGATTTTATTATCTTTTTGATGTTTAGTTTGATTTATTAATAGCTCCAATTCCCATTTTAATGGTGATTTTGATAAAATTATTAAATTATCTATTGATTTGTTTGAATATTTAACAAGCCATTTGATTATTTCTAATATAATTCCTGTTTGACCTGTTACTAATATGTTTTTACCGATATCTAATCTTGATATATCATAGCTGTTCTTCATAATAATTGAATCACTTTGTTTCTGTTCATTAAATACATTTGATAATATATCTATATCATGATTTACAACAATTTTACCAATATGTTGTCTTTCATTAATATATTCAATTGCATCTTTAAATTGATCATTTGAATATTCAATGATTGGAATTAGTTCTAATTTTTTTGAAGTTAACATTTTGACTATTTTTTTTAACAAAGTTTTAAATAATATTCCCGAAAAATCAACAAGCTCAACATTATTATATCCATAGTTGTATTTAAAGTGATTATTTGTCATATAATCATTTGGTGTTAAATGGGTAACTGAAAGATCTACAATTCTACCACAAGTATTTAAACATTGGAAATTTGAATCCATATATTCTGATGATAATGTATTTAATATTAAATCTACACCTTGATGATCTTTGTTAAATTCTAATTGTTTTAATTTGTTTTTAATTTGATGAACATAGTTTTTATTTCTTGATGAATAGATACCAGTAATAAATGAGCCATATTTATTTATCAGGTAATCTTTTTTTTCATTTGAACCTACTGTTAAAAAAATATATCCTTTGTGTTGTTTACACTTTAAAAGTTCCAATGATGAAAGACCGACACCACCTGCTGCTGAGTGAATTAAAATTGTTTGATCTGCTTTTAAATTACCAGTATTGTATATACTATGTAATGCTGTAACATAAACCGATGGAATAGAAGCTGCTTGTAAATGTGAGATATTTGTTGGTTTGTAAAAAACATATTTATAATCGATTATAATATGTGATCCACTAGTTTTTGAAGCCACCCCAAATACTTCATCTCCAATTTTAAATTTCTTTACATCATTACCGCAACGAATAATAACACCACTAAAGTCATTTCCAATATTTGGCATTTGATTTAATCCATTTTCAACTTCTTCTTCTTTGCCATATTTGATATCAACATTATTTGATATTTGACCAATATACATTAAATAATCTTTATAGTTGATACCTGTACATTTTATTTGAATTTCAATTTCATTTGAATGTAATTTTTCTTTTTTTGTTTTTAATACATACTCTAAATTTGCATCAAGTTGAATCATTAAATTATCTTTTTTTGTTTCAAATGAGTTTGATGTAAATGATTGTTTAATTTTTGTTTGTTTTTTGTATCTTTCATAATAAACTATGTTGTTTTTAATTGTTAATTCTCTTTGAATATTGTTTGTAGGATTTATTAAAATATCGATAAGTGATAGTATATATTCATTTTGAATTGATGTATTGTCGAAATCTAATGAATATAGATCTAATTGTGGGAATTCTGCAAAATATCTTACTGCTCCATTGATTGATGATGATAAATAGTTGTTTGTTGTTGAATTTAATAATATTAAAACATGTTTAAAAAAGTTTTCAATTTCAAATTGAAGTAACTTTTGATTAATTTGTATGTAGTCGAATGTTATTTCTTTAAAATTATTGATATCCAATGGATCGATTGCTTTCATAAAGATTATTAATGTTTTACTTTTTCTAATGGAGTCGATTGATTTAATAATCCAGTTGTTAAATTCATTAAAGCTATCGATTTGAATTATTTTTGAAATGAATTGTTGGTTTGATTTGAATGATTGGGGAATTTGTGCTCCATATCTACTCTTTCCAAATATTATAATACTATCGTGTGATGATAATTGTTTCATTGATTCAAAATTTGATAATACCATTTCATTTATATTTGGTTTTCTTGTTTGAATTAAAAGGAGTGCATTATCATTTCCAGATATTGTTGTATCCATATAGTTGCATTCTTTTAGTAATTTGTACCAGCTTTCTTGTTTCATGCAGCTTCTATCTTTTCTGATATCTATATCTTCTGGTGATGGCCACCATTGTGTGAATACACCGAAGATTGAGTCAAGATAGAGTGATTTGTATGGTGGTTCAATAAAAACAATTTGACCATTTGGTGTTAAAATGTTATAGATTTCATTTAAACTAAATCTGAGTTGTTTAACGACATGTAATACATTTGACATTATAACCATATCGTAATAAGATGCTTTTAAATCCTGATCTTTTAATGATTTGTCTAAATCTAGAGTACGATAGATTATATTGACAGCTTTGATTTTTGAAAGTTTTTCTTTAATGTCTGTAAAAAATGATGCTGAAATATCGCTCCATGTGTATTCTATATCGATATTTGATGTTGGTTTATCATTTAATAGTTTGTTGATTTTATTTAATACCAAATGTGATAATGAACCAACCCCGCCTCCAAATTCTATGATTCTGAATACTATTGGTTCATTAATAATAGGCTTGATTGATTCAGAAACAATATCACAAAATACATTGCTTAGTGTAGTAAGACTATCTGATTTGTTATAAATGTGATCCAATAATCCATCTTCAAATAATGATTGAGGAGTGTCAATGTTTGGATCGTCATTTTCTACAGGGAATAATAACTTTGCCATAACTCTAGTTGTTTTCTCTAAAATGTTGATATTTTTAAAACTATGAGGGAATTCACTTAATTTTTTATTGATATCCAAACCATTATATTTTTTTAAAATATCGAAAATAAACAAAAATAAATTTTCATTTACCTCATCGTTATTATAGAGTTGTTTGAACTGATTAAAATCTATTGTTGATAATGTTTCTTTGTTGATAGTTGGACGTCTTTGATTAATATGAGAGTAAAATAATGATAATAAATGTTCTTTTGATTCTTTAGGTAGATAAAGTTCATCTATTCCCACTTCAACTAAATGATACAAGTGTTTGAATGATTGTGGATTATTAATAATAGAGTCTTTTGATTGTTGAATTGGTAGATAAATTTCATTGGTTGGTGGTGGGATAATTGTGGAATTGTCAATGATTGGTGTAATTGATGTACAAATAATATTTGTAATTTCAATTAATAATGTGCCATCATTTAACATTATTTTAATGGATCCAGAGTATGAGTTTAAACTTGTTCTCGATTTCATTTCTGAATATACATATATTTCAGAATGTTGGTGGTTTGTTGATGGTATGTTAGATGGGTAGTATTTTAATCCTTCGATTTTATCTAATACAATTTGACATTGATGTTTGATAAAAATTAACATCCCATGTAAACATGTATCTAGTATTGCAGTATTAAAGAATGATTTCATTGTATCGTTGTTGAGTAAATGATTGAATTCATGTTGATTTTGAATTTCATTTAATGATACAATAGAAATAGAACAGTTATCACCAACACAGCATTCTTTGACACCTTGGAATAAACCTTTGTATGTTAACCCTGTTTTGAATTTAATTGAATCATAAAGATCTGATTTTGATAGTTTGGTATAGTTGCAACTACTCTTTATTTCATCTATATTGATTCTGTTTATTTCGTTTCCATGATTGAATAAACTAAAGTTGCCAGCGGAACATAATACCCATTGATTTGAAGTTGTATCTTTAAAGTGTGATTTGATATTGAATTCATTTTTTGAAAGTGTATAAATGGTTGTTTGTAGACATTGGTTAACATCATCTTGTAAAATTAATGGTGTTTTAAATTCGATTGAACTTATTGTAATATCTTGATTTGGATAGATATTGAATAAATTGATAATGTGTCCACATCCTGGGAAGTAGTTTTTGCCTTTTATTTGATGTCCTTTTAACCATTGGAATGGTTGCTTTTTAATATCTATATATGCTTGATATGATTTGGATGGTGATTCATTTGTAACACCAAGATGTTGAATTGGTGGTCCTTCTTTTTTGATCTTTTCATATATTGAATTTTGTTTGAAATAAATTTTATCATCCCATTGATATAATGGAAGCTTGTTTAAAGCCTTGTAATTAAACCTGATTTGATTTTGTTTATTTAACTGTGATTTAAAATTGATATTATATGAGTGGTTTACATAAAGTATTGCAATTGTATTTAAGAATTCATTGTATCCATTTTTCTTTTTGTGAAGAGGTGAATGAATAGTTATTTTTTCTCCATTATTGAAATATGGTGATTGTGTTGATTTCATTTGATTTAAATAGAATGATAATGTTGGATGTGGTGCAACTTCGATAAATGTTACTTCGTTACCATAGTTGTTTTCTTCGATATATCTATATATGTTTGAAATTGTTTGAGTGAATTTTACTGGTTGTAAAACATTTTCAAATACATATTCTGAATTGAATGGTGTTGTTTCGTTATTAAACAAGTTGGTTGTGACTGTAGAAAATATTTGTGTTGTTGATTGTTTGGATTTAATGTTCATTGAACATATTTCATCTTTGATAATTAATTGGCTGGATGTGTGGAGTGATGATAATGTTCCTAGCATAGTACAAAATATATCTTTTGATTTTAAATCATCTACAATTTCATTAAGCAAATGTTCTTTACCAGATACTACAATTGATGATGGTGAGTTGTAACAAGCAATATCGACTGTTGGGTATTTTGATGAATAATTTGATATATATTCTTCAGCACTTATATTTACCGATAGCATTCTACCAGTACCAGTTGTTTTCTTTTGTGCCATAGATCTTTTGTATACTAAATAACATAATGTTTCAAAGTCAATCATACCAGAGCAATATGATGCTGATACCTCACCAAGAGAATGACCAACGATTAAATCTGCTTTGATACCCCAGTGTTTATATAGTTCGAATAATGATACTTGAATCAAAATGTTTGATGGTTGAGCAATAGTATGATCGTGTACTGATATCATATCTTTATCATCGATTGATCTTAGTTTTTGTAAAACAGAGTACCCATAGTATTTGAATAGTTCACTATCGAATTTATCAACCCATTGTTTGAATATGGTTTCATTTCCATATAGTTCTAATGCCATTTTATTATATTGTGAACCTTGACCGCATAATACAAATACTGTAAATGGACTTTTTTTATTAACCGCAATATTTGAAACTGTGTTTGAATTTGATGATTTTATTTCATTTTTTGAATCTTTAAATTCTTCCCAATTACTTGCAATAACAATTGATCTTTGAACGAGAGATGTTGATTTAAATTTGATTTGATTATTTACAAACTCATTAAAATCCAATTTTTCTGATTGTTCCATTATAATTTGTTTGTATTTATCAAGAGATGTTGATGAATTTGATGAAAATGGTATTAAATATTTTTTTTCAGTTTGATTTTCATTTTCAACTATTTCTTGATTGAAATCTGATAAAATAATACAACAATTTGATCCTATTATTATTCATAAAATACATTATTAATATATTTATTCTTTTTTTTATATTTTTTAAAAATATACATACCAGTTACACCAAAATTATTAATAGCCATAACAGTGGTTTTGTTATCGTTATTGAATGGTGTTGGTTCAGTTACAACTTTTAAATGCCACTCATTGAATTTGATAGCTGGGTTAGGTGATTTAAAGTTTATATTTTGAATAAATGATTGGTTTTTATACATAACACAACATTTTATTAATGACATTACACCTGATGATGCTTCACCATGGCCGATATTAGATTTAATCGAACCAATTAAAACCTGTTTGTTTGTATCTTTGATTACTCTTGAAATACCTTCTAGTTCTATTGGATCTCCAGTAGGTGTACCAGTACCGTGACATTCAAAATAGTCAATATCTGATGCATTGATTTGACCATTGGTAGATTCGATTGCAGATTTTATATTTTCAAATTGTGATGATTTTGATGGTGAATAAAAGTTTGCTTTGTCATAGTTACCATCTACATTTGAACTTGAACCTTTAATAACACAATAAATATTATTACCATCCTTGATTGCTTGTTCTAAACTCTTCAAAACTAAAACACCAACACACTCTGAACGTGCATATCCATCTGCATTCGATGAGAATGTGTGACACTTTCCAGTTGGACTTAACATTGATAAATAAGAAAATGATTTTGATATATTTGGGTCTAATTATAAAAATAAATATATAAATTTTTAGTTAAAATGAAAATTTTCTATAAAAACCGTTATTTTAAAAATCATAAATACCTACCAAGAATTAGACTAACTCCACCCACAATAGATACACCAGATTGACCATATTTGATAGATTTGTAACCAAGATTAATTGCATTTAATGATGAGCTACATGCAGTATCGATTGTCATAGAATCGCCACGAAAATCAAAGCAGTATGATATTCTATTTGAAATTGAATGAAATGATCCTCCAAAAATATTTTTTTGGGTTTCAAAAGGTGATTTATTGGAAGAATCGTAGTCTACAATTGATGCACCAATATATGTACTTGTATTTGAACCACGTAAAGTGGATGGATCAATACCGCTATCTTCTAATGCTTCCCATGTACACTTTAACAGTAATCTTTGTTGTGGATCGATTGTATTGACATGTTCATCACTTGGATTGATTCCAAAGAAAATTGGATCAAAAGACTTCCATTCATCAAGAGGAATAAGACCAGCGTATTTGGAAGCAATATCACCAGTGATAGTATAGTTATCAGACCATCTTTCCGATGTTCTACGATACCATCGAAACCATTAACCAAGCTATCCCATAGTTGATTTGTATTTGAAATCGATTTTTTTAAACTACCACTTGGTGCTCTAAAACCAATACCTATAACTGCAACATCACTATTTTTAACAACATATTTAGATGACATTTTTTAATATATAAACAATTTTATTTGATATTTTATTGTAATGAAATAATTTCTTTTTTAAATAGAAAAAGAAATTGGTATTAAAAAATAAAAAATTGAATATGAATTTAATTATTTAATTCATTTTAACCTGTTCTTTAAGGATAAACCTTTCTAAACTGTTGGGGTAATTATTGGTATATATATTAAAAATTTTTTATCTTCTTGATATTATCTTTTTGATTTTATTATAGATTTTTTTTTTTTTCCACATGAAAAATTTACTAATTTTTAAAAATATTACTCTTTTTTATACGAGTCTTTTATATAGAGAATTAGATGTTGTTAAAAATCTCTGTTAAAATTTGCCCACACATTTTTATTTCTAAATTTAGTGCGAGAAATTATTAAAAATTTGGAGGGTTTGGATAAAACTTTGATGTTTTTTCTGTTATACAAAAAAAAAAAAAATTTTAATTATTTTGCTTTATTTATAAAAAAAAAACTTTGGAATTTTTTAAATTTTTTTTTTTTTTTTTGCAAAATTCTATTTTTTTTATTAAAAATTTTAATATTTTTTCAATATTTTTTAAACGTCTGTTGATTATTATTATAATAGTTAAACAAATAAAGGTTTATTATTGTCAAATTACAAATCTTACTATTTTGGTGGATTTGTAAATTATAAAATTGTTTTAAAACATATAGGCAGTGCAGTATGTATTGCCGCTAGATGTACACAAAGAGTTACATCTAACCAAACCAATTTTCTATTGTAATTGAAAAAGGTAATTATATTTAAAATCTATAATTTTATAAATATTATTATTTGACAACTATATACTAGATATAATTATAAAAATAACAATAGTGTAATCACTGACTCTGTAGATAATGGTGATAATCATACCAATGGCAATAAGAGACCAAACAAAAAATTAAAAACAAATAATGAAAATAAATCATTTTCAATTTTTTTTTTTTTTATTAAAATATTAAAATATGCAGTCAAAGATTCAATTGAAAATGAAAAATATTATAGTTTTATGGAACATTATCATTAGTTTGTAAATCCTGGTCCCTATTCGTATTAACAGTGTTAAAATTCGAAAAAGATTAGTTTAAAAATGATGATTATATATTCTTATTTAAAAGTAAAAGATACAATTAGATACCTTATCAATTCAAAATCAAAGACAGGTTTCAAGTTTAGTGATCAAATAATCAAATCAATGGCTATTTAAAATTACTACAATCACCCACAGTTATAACAGGTACATACAAAATTTTTCCTGAAGATGATGAATTTGATTTAAAAATTTATATAAACAATCAAGAGTGTGGCACAATCTTTAGTCCAGATATTTTCAAAATAGAAATTTACCTTCATCATTTGGCAAGGATGACCAAACTGTTTATGATGAATCTGTCCGTAAAGGTTACCACATAGAGGGCACAAGGGTTAAAGTTCCATACTTTGACAATTCGAATTGGGGTTATATACCAGAAGATCATTATTTACGTGATAGCCCTTTCCAACTCAAATTGTATAAGATCCATATTGATTTTTTTACAATTTCAAATGAAACAATGTTTTGGTCAAGAAAGAGTCAAGATTCGAACATTTCTTTTAACTAGGACCTTGGATTTTAGTTCTGATGATATAGCTAATTTAAAGATTGCAATGGTTTCACCAAAAACAATTAATGAGCCATCAAGACTGATCAAATATGAAGATAAAGAAACTTTGATGTTCTGTGGCAATAAATACAGTAATCTTTACTCTATTTACAGCAAACCTTTACCAAGTACCGGAAATGAAGAAAGAAAACACGAGTATTTAGATGTTTCTCTGCAATTATTATTTCAAATTAATAAAGTCCTGGAATTATAAATAAAAAGTTTATGATTTTTTCATTTTTTATACCTATATTTTATTCACAAAAAATAAATTTTAGGATTTATAAAAAAAAGTTTATAAAAGTAAAATTTTATATTTATAATTTTTTAATTTGATTTTAAAAAACCCAAAACTAGTTTAGAATATATTGATAAGATGGGCATAATGCTTAGAATAGTATTTGAAAATAAATCTAATTTTATTTTTCAAAATACTAGATGGACCATTACTGTGGTACAAGATCATTTATAATTTGGTATTGTTCACTAGAGAAAAAAAATTTATTTTAATTTTTTTTTTTATGTAATAAAAAATAAATAAATTGATACATACAATACGAAATGTAAAAAATGATCACATAACACGGTAAATCTAAAAATATTTTTCAAATACTAAACTGAAAAATATTTTTAGATTTACTTTCAAATACTATTTTAATGGCCATTACCAAAGTCTGCTCCCCTTGGGATGCTAACCATTCAGAAGTTTGTCCTTTATAAGGTTCTTTCAGATGTGCTTCATTTAAAACAATCTTATGGTCATCAAATTCAAACTTTTCAGGAGGAGTTCTTTTAAAGGGGTTTTTCAATTGTGATATAGGGTTTCTACATAGTCATAGCTCGGCTATAAAAAAAGAAATAGTCCTTCCCAACCGCCCCACAAAGCACCTATTTTGACTTTTTTTAAAACTACAGAAGCTATAGAAAATAAAAAAAAAACTAAAAATAGAGAAAAAAATCGAAAAAATTCATATAAAAAAAATTTAAAAATAGAAAAAACTGAACTTTTTTATAATTATTTTTTAATTTAATTATTATTTTTTTTAATTTAAATATTATATTTTATTAAACCTCATTACCATCTTTTAAAAACTCTATTTTGTAATTAAACTTATTTAGATGTGTATAATTATTATTATACTATAATAATTTTTTAAAAAAACAATTTTAATATTAATATAGAAAAATAAAAAAGAAAAATATTAATAAATTTATATGTGAATACCTCTATAAATTGTTTGGTGCGATAATAATTTTATTTTATTTTGTAAATTTATTTAAATTTTTTTGTTTCTTTCCCCATAATAAAAACACATCAGGTATAAAAATTTTTCAGAAACATATTGTGGTAAATTCTTTATAAAAAAGCTGTTAAATATTAAAAAATTAGTAAAATAATTAAAGGTAAGAAATTATTATATTAAATATTTACGCTTGAAGTTCGTGAGTCCAATAACCTGTTGTAATCTTCTCGTAACCAATGGTAGAAACAGCTGATATAGCCAATGCTTCAGGTGATGCAATGAATAATGAAGGTTTACTAATTTTAGACATGTTACTAGCAACAATAGCTGGGGTAACACATTGAACAAAAACCCCTTTTGTAGCATATTCATAATTTAAAGAAAGTGAAAATTTTTCGATAAAAGCTTTGGTCCCACAGTATACAGATAATAATGGACAACCACCTGGGGCAATAGCAGTTATAGAACTTATGTTAATAATACAACCTCTTCTTTTTTCAACCATTCTGTTATAATATTAATATATTAGTATATTTATAAATGATGAAAACAAGTAATTAAATATAAAATATGTATACTTTGGGATAACTAATCTAGATAAAACAGTGAGAGGTCTAATATTTATGTTTATTAATGATTCAATGACACTTGGTTGTAATTCTTCAAAGAGCATTGGATCATATCCAATACCGACATTATTAACTAAAACTCCAATATCTAAACTACTCAGTTGTTTGAATAATGTTTGATATTTAGTATCATCGGGTGTGTCAAAATCAAATGAAATAACTTTAGTTTTTACTTTGTATTTTTTTTCTAAATATAATTAAAAAATATTAATAATTTAATTAAAAACCCTCGCTTATTATTTTTTACAAACCAATTTCTGAGGCAACAGAGTCTAATTTTTCTTGGTTTCTACTAACTAAGCAAATTTTGAGACCTTTTTTGGCAAATTGATGGCAATATGCTTTACCAATACCATCGGTAGCACCGGTAACCACTGAAATATTTAATTATAAAAATAAAAGAAAGAATGTTAGTAAAAACGACATTTACTTTATTTTTTAAAATAAAATTTATATGAAAAAAAAATAAAACAAAATAATTTTTTATTAACAAAATTTTAATATAATTATTTAACTATTCAACTTGCCAACCCAACTACCATATTTTTTAATGTTTATTGGAGCTCTAAAAGTAAAAGCAAAAACGAACATGGCCAAATGGTAAACAAATCTGATTATAACACCTAAACCAATGGCTAGAGAAAGACTTTTAATAACTTCAATCATTTTCAAAAAAAATGTATTTAATTTAATTTTATAATCTTTTAAAATAATAAAAGAAAAAAAAAAAAAATTTGTTTAAAATTAAACAACACATTTATTTTTAATTTTTTTAATTTTTTTTTAATTAATTTAAAAATAAAACCATCTGTTAAAAAAAAAAACATTAAAAGTTTTTTAAAGATAATTTTAATTTTTTATAATTTTTTTAAAAATAAAAATATCTGTTCAAAAACATAATCAATATAATTCATAAATCTAAATTATATTTAGTTACAATCTGCATGACCACTTGATATACTAGAACTAACATTAATCAAATTTAATATATTTTACCCTTTATTTGAACTATTTGAATTTGTTTTTGAAATTTCAATATCTGACAAATACTGTCCATAACGATTCTATTTATCTTCTAACAATTACCAGAATCTTTATCCAATTCATTAAAAGGTTTGATACTCTTTTTTTTTATCTGCATTTTTAAATTTTGCTACATTGACTAAATGATAAAATATCACATAATTTTATTATCTGCACAACATATGAAATTTTTGACTTGAACATTTTATAAGTTCCTTAAGTTTGTAGAAATGAAAAAAAATAGAAAAATAATCTTAACTCAAAAAAATTTATAATACTTATTAATAATTTTAAAATAATAAAATAATTTTAAATATATTTATTTATAACCATATATATATTTATTAATTATTCTTGAAGTGATTACAATGATCTTCCTATCTACCATTGAAATAATATTCTGACATGTCAACTTCTTTTTTTGTTATTACATTTCCTAAACCTTCTCTTGCAGCATTTAAGAGCAAACCATGGTCTTGATCGATGGTGTAAGTGAATAAGCCACCCAAATTATTTCTAACAACATATTCTCCTTTGGATTTGACGGATCTTGGTGTATCGATGGACATAAATACCCTTGATCTGGGGTTATATAAGAAATCTGCATCTCCTACCTTATCTGTGTATAGAGAGAAACCATTTTTTCCTGATTTAGAATTTAAATCCAAATAGTTATATAAAATATCGTAATATTCAGTGACCCCACTCTCGAAAGTTCCTATTGTTGTTCCTTCATGTGGAGAGCAATTACCACTGAGAGGTGAAGAACTTGAAATTTCAGCATTTTTAGCATTACGACTATAGGCAGCGAAACCAATAAACAAACTCTTAGATGGGACATTTAATTCTTTTATTAAATAATTAACGACTACATCAATACCATAGCTTTTTTTATCTTGAGGATTTGATTTAAGGTTGGTATGATGAGCCAATGAATCAGACCATGGAGTTCCGAAAAAGTCAAAAGTCATAATTTTAATATAACTTACACCAGCCTCCATTAAAAGTGGAATATTAGCAGCTTTTATCTTATCAATGTCTCCAGCAGCAGCAATACTGATTTTAACATCATCACGACTATTTGATGAAAGAGTACTTTTGACTTTTTTAATTAATTCAGCATAATTTTGTGGATCTTCTGAGCCACCATCACCACCTGGATACTATATTAATTAATTAATATAATTAAAATTAAAAATACATCAAAAGGAATACTTACCTCCCAATCGAGATCGATTTCCCCAATCATTGGGAATCTTTTTAAGATATCAGCAACTCCATTTGCAAATGTTGTTCTTTTTTCAGATGATTTTACCAATTCATGGAATGGTTGTGACAATTCCCTGCCTCCAATTGAAAGTGAGATTACAAGATTTGGGTTTTTTTCTTTTAATTTACGAAGACCACCAAGGAGACCTTGACATTTATTTTGAGAAAAACTTTCTAAAACATCAGAACTGAGCCACCCATCGAAACCAACATTACAATAAGATAATAAATAACCCCAACTATCTATAAAAGTTGGTTCATTATCTTTTTTGTTGAATTCTTGAGCAGCTCTTTTTATAGCTTCTTTATTTTCACCCTGGTCACCAACTATACCACAAAATCCAATGATGATTTTATCATAAGCATCTGGGTTAATATTCATTAAATCACGACCTCTACCAGCTCTATCAGACTCTTCAGAACCATCTAAACGAGCATCATATTGACCTGTTTAAAAAAAAACCCATTAGTTTTAAATATAAAATGGTTTTTAACTATAAGAATATTTACAAGCTCCATTATAATAACCAAAAACTTTAAAATCATTCTTTTCATATGTGTTATATAATGGTTTTCCAACTCTTGCTGATGTATAAGAAAACTTTGAATCCTCAGATGAGGTATCAAAGTTATTTTTTTGATATGTTTGTACGGTTAATGAATCACGTAATGTTAACTCTTGTGACATTTCTATATGTATAAAAATTAAAAAAATATAGAAATTTCTATGTTAAACTATTTAAATAATAAAATTTAAAAAAAAAAAAAAAAAAAAAAAAAAAAAAAAATTGTAAATTTGTGCCCTTCTTATAAAAAAAAAAAAGTATTTTGAAAATTACAAAAAACTCTCACCTATTTCAAATAATAAAATCATTGATGGATTTTGATTGGATATTTTTTTGGTGAAGTGTTATTTTTTCTGTAAATTTTTAAATTATGAAAAGGTTTGATTTTTGGGGAAACCAATAATTAATTAAAAAAAAATATTAATTATTTTTAATTTAAATCTCTGATATTAAATGTTTGTTTTTTTTTGTGTAATATAAAAGTTTTTAAGTCATTATGAGGTTTCAGAGAATAAAATTATAACCCTTTTCCCACCAACCAATTATTATAAATTAAATCATTAAAAAAGTAAAAGTTTTAGATAATAATTAAAAAAATTTTATTTCTATTCTTTATATTATTTGTAATATTGTATGATATTTTCTGTGAATTGTTTTATTATAATTTGTAAAAAAAAAAAAAAAATTATTTTTTAATCAGCAAATAATAGTTTAAGTTCTTCGATTCTTTGTTGTGGTTGTTTTTTCATTGTTAATGCCTCTTTAGCTAAATCTTTTTTAGATTTCTGAAGCTCTAGGATCTTTTCTTCGATTGAATCTTTAATGAAGAATCTAATGACATTAACATTTTTATTTTGACCAATACGGTACACACGATCTATAGCTTGCTCTTCGGTGGCAGGGTTCCACCATGGGTCACAGAGAAATACATGTGAAGCAACAACTAAATTTAAACCCAATCCACCAGCTTTAATTGAAATTAAAAATATTTTGATACTTGGCTCTTCTTTAAATCTTTTAATTGCAACTTCTCTTTGTTTTTGTGGTATTTTGCCATCCAATCTAACAAACGGCATAGAGTTGATATTTAATGGTATTTCAATTAAATCTAACATTGATGTCCATTGAGAGAAAATTAAACATTTTGAATCTGGTTCGTTCTTTAATACTTTATTTAATTCATCAAGCAATGAATCAATTTTAGTACTACTTTTCCAATTACTTGAATCATAAATAGGTTTCTTTATTTTAATGTTGTTGCTATTGCTGTTGTGATTTCCTGTATTACTACTATTAGCTGAATGACTGTTTGTATGGCTAGTATGCGAGATTGATGGTGATAATGGATAATCATAGATTTTATTTTTAAATGAAATTGATTTAATTGTGCTATATTTAACTGATTGCTTGCATATTGGACATAGGAATATTTTTTCACTTTCGCCCATTGAACTATTTAAATTGCTAATGATTGTGTTGATGTTTTGAATTTTTGACATTGGTACATTTTCATATGAACTCTTTGGTGATAAATTTACAAGATTAGTCGATGATGGTTTTATGATTTTTGGTGACATTGGTGGGGTAGAATGTGGAGATGGGTTGGGTGTGATGGAAACGCAATTACTGGACATATTTAATACATTTGTTTTATATCTTGGTGATTCAGTTTGGGATCTAGATGGACTAATTAACAATGCTCCTGATGAAGATAATTGTTTATAACCATTGCTGCTATTTTGATTTATTTGTAATGCTGGTATTGATAAATTATTAACATTGCTATTATTTGATTGTTGATGTAATTGCTGTAGTTGTTGAATTGGTGAGGATGGAATTGGTGAAGATGGTGAAGAAGATGGTGAAAAAGGCTGTTGTGGTGAGGATGGTGCTGTATTATTATTGGTACCTGTAGACGCTGAGATAGATGTTGTTGTTATTGTTGATGGAGATTGAGGTGACATGTTGAAATTGATTTTGGTATCTGCTATTAAATTTGATTGAATACAAGATGTACAGAAAAAGTGACCGCATGTTGTAATTGATGGATTTTCTAAAGTATCATAACAAATTGTACATTCTTGATCTTTGATTCCTTTACCTAAAATCTTTTTTAATTTTTTACCTAATTCATATGGAGTAAAATGATTGGGATTATTATTGATAAAATCTAAAAATGATGACCAATCACTTTCATTACCGCCAATAGCAGAGGTAGCACTATCATCCTTGCTATCCAACGAAGGTGACATTAAACTATTACTACCGGCCCCGCTTTGATTCTTTAAAGCTAAAAATGGATGGTTACAAGCTTGTCTTAATCTTAATAACATTTCTAAAACATGGGCATAATTCTTTAACAATGAACCATTTTGAAACAAAATGTTAAATCTTGATTTAGCAGATTTCCAAAGATCTTGATACATTTTATTCTCCTCTTCGCTAAAAGTATCTCTTTTGACCATAACCACCTTGTCAGGTAATTCTAAAATAGGTGAATTATTAACTTTTTGATCTTTTAATCTTCTTAATAATATTTTTGATAATAAAACCTAATTAAAATAAAATATTAATATATATAGTTGGATTATATTATAAAATAATAACTTTATTACATACCCTTAGCCTTGAAAAACCAATATCATCTTTAAGTTTTGATGGTTTTAAAATATATTGGTTCCACCAACTATAGTTTGAAAATGGCTCAACTCTTAAAAAATGAATTAATGAAAATAAATCATCAAGTTTATTTTGAATTGGAGTACCTGTTACACACCATCTAATCTTGGAGTGTAATGAATAGGATGATCTGCTTGTTCTTGTTGTTCTTTCTTTAATTGTATGGGCTTCATCCAAAACTATTCTGAACCATCTTACACTATGAATTCCATTCTCTGGCAATTGGTTATTATTACCACCATCACTATCTACCTCGCCTAATCTTTTTCTTTTTTTAAATTGCTGTGATGGAGATGAAGGGATTGCAAAAAAAGGTGGTGCTGGTGATTGAGTTGGTGTTGAAGGTGGCGATGTTGGTAATGATTTTGATTCGTTATGATGTGGTACCTCTAGATACATTCCACTATGGCTATTACTACCATTGTTATTATTACCATCACTTAAATATAACCCATGTCCACTATTACCATTACCATTATTATTTATTGAAATATTTGAAGCTTCGTCATTAAATTCTGATACCAATGTTGTATATGTTGTTAATACTATATCATATTTAATTAAAAACTGAGGATCTTTATTTCTATTTGGACCATGATAAATATAAACATTGAGAGGTGGAATTGTATTATTAACAATCTCGCTGTGCCATTGCTGTAATACTGAAACTGGACAAACGATAAGAGTTGTACTTGATTGGAAATTATTTTCGGCGGAGGGTGGTTCGAGATTTTTGTTTGTTAAAATTGTTGATATAATTTCAATTGTTTTACCCATGCCCATATCATCACATAGCAAGCCACCTTTAACAAAATTTAAATCCCTTGAACCATCCAAATCGACCAAAGATATTAACTCCTCTGGCTCTGCTAATTCTCTATAATGCATCCAATGTAGAGCCTGTTTTTGATATGTTCTAAGTGTTAACTTTAATTCTTTTGGACCATCCATTTCCTTTGTAGTGACTGTGTAAATATCCTCAATCTTTTGTTTAAATAAAGAATCTGTAGATTTGCATAATACCGGGCATGGTTGAAATAAATTGTCTGTTGCGCTTGATCTTAATGAACGTGTTGAGGTGTTTATTGATGAACTACTATCAGATAATAATGTGTCTTTGGATGATCTCAATTCATTATTATGACTATTACTATTATGATTACTATTATTACTATTATCGGTTATATGAATTGGGATTGATTGATTCGAAACTGCTGGTGAATATAATGATAATGGCGTTATTATGCCATTTAATGAAGATGATGGTGAAAATGTTGGAAAACTTGAATTTGAATATGATAATAATGATGATTGCGAAGTATCTAAAAATGGAGAAGATGGATGAGAAAATGAATTTGGTGATTGTGGTATGTGATGTTGCTGAGATTGAAAATTTGGTGAAGAATTTAAAATCTTTAATTCGTTTGCCATTTGAATCCAAGCATTAACATATGGACTATGTTGATTTTTTGGTATTTGTTCTTTTTCAATTCCATTATATATACTAATTTCGAGCTCTAAACTATTTACAGATGGTGTTATATTATTATTATTATTATTATTATTATTATTATTATTATTATTATTATTATTATTATTATTATTATTATTATTATTATTATTATTATTATTATTATTAACTCTTAAAGGTTTACATTCAACTTGAATATAATTCTTTTCTAAAAGTACTGCTACCCAAGTAATTGATTTCTCTCCTAATTCTAAATATTGAATTTCATTATTTATATTTATTTGTGATGAAAATTTTAAATATACATTTTGATTTACATTATGATTATTACTATTTGACCTTATTACATTTATTTTAACTTTATCAATTAAATTTATTTTTGAAAGTATATCTTCGGTATTATTCTTTTGATTTAATTGAATATTTACATTAAAAGTGCCAATAAACTGCTCTTTTGAAATTAGAGGTAATACTCTATTGATATGATGATGATGAATATGACTATGTATATGACTATGATGATTATTTACAGAATGACTATGGTGATTACTATTTGATGATGGGGTTATTGGTGAGAAAAATGATACATATTGTTGATTCCAAACTAATGAAGATGATATATAATGTGGATATGTTGTTGGTGCTGGAGATGTTAAACTACCATAATTATTATTTATACTATTACTACTAAATGGTGAATCTAAACTTTTATTAACTTGAACTTTAGGTATATTAATACTCCTTTGAAATGATGGAGAAGAACTGCCTGTCGGTATAGCTATAACTGGTTTAGGTGATGGTGGTGGCGATTTTATTGGGCCAGGGGATGGAGGTGGCGATCTTAGTGATGGGCTATTACTATTGCTATAACTTGCCTGAACACCTCTTTGTTGGCTATAAATATTTAAATGATTATTGTTATTATTATTATTATACATGCTATATGAATTGCTACTTGGATTAAACTGTATTGTTGAAGGTGAAGATTCAATTATAATTTCGGATCCAAAAAATGAAGTTTTTGTTGGTGATTTAACAATTGTTGGTTGGGGTGGCGGTTGCTGTGAATCAAATAGTGATTTTGATGTTGATATTTGTGAACCAAATGAATTTAAACTTGAATTACTATATGTACTTTGATCGCTTTCATTACTAATCATAATAGACCTATTTCCTAAACTACTCTTACTATTATTTAAACTATTTATTGTATTTAATGCAGAGTTTGAATTTGATAATACTGGTATTGTAGAAAACCCACCACCTCCAAAAGCCCCACCTCCCAGTGATGAGTTGGTCGGTAATGTACCAAATAATGCTGAAGATGATGATAATAATGAATTAAATAAATCGCTTGTCTGTTGCTGTTGCTCTTGCTGTTGTTGCTGTTGTTGTGGGTGAAAACCATCTTGGCTCCCGTCAAAATGGGTCCTTATCCTTTTATCGTCATGATTATTATGATGGCTATTATTATTACTATTACTATTATTATTACCATTGTTATTGTTATTTAAACCATATCTAAAACTATTCATTTTTTTCTTTTATTTTTATGTGGTTTATAACTCGCTTATATAAGAATAGTTACTATTATTTCTATTTCTATTTCTATATTATTGTTAAACCCTAATTAATTAATTAATTTAATAATTAATTAAAAAATCAATTAATTAATTAATCAAAATTTTTTTATAAATTAATTATTGCACTAAAAATTATTTATTTTATCTATATACATAATGTGAATAGCTGTTTGGTTTTTAATCTGGTAATTATTGTGTTATATCATCTATTATTTATCTAATTATTATAACTTGTTTGTTTTTTAATATTAAAAGAAAAATTTAAAATTTTACAAAATAAATATTTTAAATTTTTATTTTTTAAATTTTTATTTTTTTTATTATTTTTTATTTTTTTTTATTTTTTTTGTGGTTATTTTAGTTAAAATATTATTAAATTATCTTTATTTGTGTTTATAATATATATATATATTCAAACAAACTGACTTAAAGAGGAGCAAGACAAAATTTTAAATAAAATAAAAAATAAAAAATAATACGGTTTTTTTTTTATTTTTTTTTTTTAAAAATTATTTGTTTTTCAAAGAATTAAAAAAAATCAAACACAAAGAATGCACACATCATTTAATATTTTTACATTATTTTAATGATCATTCCCAATAACCAAAAAAAAAAATTACTCTAAAAACCAAAACCTTCCCATTATTGATAATGGGTTTTATTATTATTTTTTTTAAATCAGGAGTGAATAACAACACCCACTCTCATTAACAAAAACAATAAACGCAACACAAAATAGCAATAACATTGATATATTTAGTTTATTATAATATAAATCTAGGTTGATTATTTTCTTTTTCTTTCAATGAGATCTACATTTTATTATTATAAATTTATTGGTTTTAAAAATAAAATTGGATTTTACAAAACTATAAACAGAACAGTTACCAAATAAATTGAAAAAAAAAGATTAATATAAAAAAACTTTATAAAGAGTGAGAAGGATAGTTATTTTTCTTTTGTAATGTAATTTTGATTTATATGGATACTTGTACATTTTTTCCAAATTAATATAATTAATTGTTTTGTCTTTAAAATTATTATTATTAATAATGATATTAACCCAATAACAACACCCACTCACAACCACTACTCCCCACTCTCACCCACATTTACCTATCCATTGGAAATATAATAATTATAAATTATATATAAAAAATTATATTTATATATCTCTTATTCACTTATATATATTTATTTTAATTGTATATAAATTATTTATTTATATTTTTTTTTTTTTTTTTTTTTTTTTTTTTTAATTTATATTTTTTTTTGATGTGAAATCAAATTCCTTTTTTTTTTTTTTTGTTTTGTGTTTTAATGATAATTGTAATAAAAAAAATAATTTTTGTAATAAAATATTAACACTAATAAAAATAAAAGAAACAATAAATAGAAACTACAATAAATTTTAAAACAAACAACAATAGAGAATTAATAGTAAATTATTTATGTGTAGTATTAGCATCGACAAATTTAAAAAAAATAGGTTTTTTTTTTAAATAAACTAAAATATTTATTTATTTATTCAAATTATTTATTTATTTATTTATTTCAAAGTATGCATCAAAATTTTGGTTGTTTTTAAAGCGTGTTACTAAAAATACACTTTTTTTTTTTTTTTTTAAATTTTATTTTTTTTTAAAAATTTTTTATTTTAAATTTTTTTTTTTTGAATTATTTCTCTAAAGCCATAGTTTTTTTTTTTTTATAAAAGCAATATTTATTCCCCCAATTTACAAAAAAAAAAAAAAAAAAAAAAAAAACCTAAAAAGAGAATTTTTTTTTCTCTTTAAATATCTATTTTTTTTTTTTTTATCTATGTATATTAAATAAATCACAATACATTTAATTGTTTATATTTATTCACCAAAGTAAAATAATCAGTTAAAAAGTTTTTTTTTTTCTTTTAATAATAATCATTCTCATTTGTTGTACATATACATACATATATATATATTTAAATTGTAAATAAATCATAAGAAAAAACAAAAATCAAACACACATACACACACACTTTTCACTCACACAAGAAAAAAAAAAAAGAAAAAAAAACCCAGATCCACATTTTAACCCTCTTAATTAAAAAAAAAAATATATAGTTTATATTTAGAACTTTGTCATCCTTTATTATATCACATACACTCTCACCCACTCACGCCTTAAATATTAAATAGTCTTATAATTTAATTTTTAAATAATATTTTTATTTTCTATATAATAATAATAATAATTTTTTTACCTTATCATTTTTATGATCACCAAACACTTTTTTTTTTATTTTTTTTATTTTCTTTTAAATTTTGTATTATTAAATAAAAAAAATTATATTTTTTTGTAATATCTTAAATAGCTCATAATATTAATATAATAATAGTAGTACAGTAATATTATTAGAAAATAAACTAGTTTAGCAGTATATAAATATTTTAAAAAAAAAGAATAGTTTAAAATGAATATACATATAGATTTAATAAATCCAATGAACTGGACATCAAACAAATTATCGAAACTACCAGATCATTCATTGACCGTATGGGGTCATTCATCAACATCAAATGGAGAAAAAGAAATTGTTATATTTGGAGGTTATGATTATTGTACAGATAAACCAACTAATACAACTTATATATTAAATATTGGTAAGATTTAGTTCAAAAAAACTACATAATCTTTTTAAAGATAAGAGTTTTAATAATGATTTATATAAATATTTTTAGGACAATCAAACTCACTTATAAAACCAACGGTTAGTGGCGCACTACCGCCACCAATGTATGGACATTCATCAATTCAAGTTGGTAAAAAAATGTTTATATTTGGAGGTAATCTTCAAGATAATACGCAAAGTAGTGATATGTATCAATTTAATACAACCAATTATTCTTGGAGCAAACCGAAATTAAATAGTGTTTCAGATCCACCCAGAGCTCGTTTTGGACATTCAGCAGCATTATTATCAGATCATTATATTTTAATATTTGGAGGAGTTCATTTAGGACCTGGTGGAGCCAAAACAATTTTAAACGATATGCATATTTTTAATACCGATAGGAACTGTTGGGCAAAAACCAACGATCACAATGGCATGCCTTCATTAGATTCACCACCAACCGCATCACCTAGGACACCAACCTCCTCATCATCCTCCACTTTAAATGGAATAAACAACGCAAAAGACTCACCATATTCTATAGTTTCATTTCGAGGTAGATCAGCAACTATATCAGGGCATAATATGAATAATACATCACCAAATATAAATAGTTCAAATGGCTTATCATCAAGTAATAGTAACAATCAGCAATCATCACAACAACAGCAACCATTAAATCATTTACTACAGCACTTCTCACATCTTCATGGCAATGCAATACCTAATTTACCTTTACAACCAAATCTACAAACATTAGGCAATAGTGACACTATAACACCACCATTAACGCCCTCAGGTATTTTGGATCTTAATAAATCACCACTATCACTATCACAAAGAATTAGTAATGGAAGCTGCGGTAACATCACATTGGGTTTCAGCAAAGTTCAATCACCACCACCACGTTATTTTCATAGTTGCTCACCAATTAATAATAGAGTGTATATATTTGGAGGTTATAGCGGCTCGCAACTATTGAATGATCTTTATATTTTAAATATAGAATCGATGGAATGGATACAACCACATCCCAAGGGCGACATACCCTCACCAAGAGCAGGTCACACATCTGCAGTAATTGGCAATAATAGATATATAGCAGTATTTGGTGGTACAGTCGAGGGTGACCCTTCAAACCCTAATAATGCACATTGTGACAACGAATTGTTTTTATTTGATGTTGAAACATTTATTTGGACTCAAATTAAAACAACTGGTACATTGCCATCTCCAAGAACAGGTCATATTTGCCAGGCTATCGGTTCAAAAGTATTTATAGTTGGTGGCACTGAAGCTATTTTAAATAATAAATCGAAAATACATAATAATAATTACTATACCCTAGAAACCCTTCATGGTAATAACAACCCCACTAATGTATCAGCAAAACCAAGAAGCGGTAGTACTTCATCATTTTCAACTCCATTAGTATCTCAAAAATACTTATTCTCTAGTAGTGGCAGTAGTGGAGATAACTCACCAAATGGATCAAGACTTTCATTTAAAGATGGTGCTGATAACCTATTAGTATCATTACAAGAATCTTCACCATCATCTTCACCATCATCCTCAAAATTAGACCTTTCACCCAAATCTAATAATCCATTATCCAGTAGCGGCGGTGCAATAAGAGGCGAATTCCTTAGACACTTTACAACATCCTCATTAAATGGTAATCTATTAAAAGACTCATATGCAGATATCAAAAGGAAATATCAAGACGAACGTGAAAAGAGAATAGAGTTTGAAAAAGAAATTGAACTATTAAAAATTAAACATCAACAAGAAATTTATAATTTACAACAACAATTACAACAACAGCAGCAACAGTATCAAATGAACCAAGGTGATTCAATATTAACGTCACAACAAATTTTAGCAATCTACAACGACATCTTTGAAATGTGGAGTTATATCGATAAAAATTTAAGAAACAGAGAGAATATAGACGTTAAATTAGACCATATATATGAAATATTGAAAAATAAAATAGATCATTTCACTCAGCTAATTGGTATGGAATCATTTTTAGATGATCAAAAGAGTACATACAGCGATACCAATATTTTTATGAATAATAACAATAATAATAATAATAGTACCAATAGTATACCAAATATGATTAGAGACGACACTAGCGAAACCTCTCAACACTCGCAGCAATCTACCGATCTTCAAGCTAATGATCCATCACCAAGAAAGAAAGATGCAGTTCACCATTCCCGATCAGTTTCAAATCCAATTCCCTTCCTATCTCAAATTGTAAAAGCTAGAGGAACAAATAATCCCAATAGCAACAGCAATAGTTTAAATGAGCAAACTCTATCTGTACAACAACAACTCCATCATTCACATAATAACCTTCATACCTATATAAATCAATGTAAAGATACAACTTCACCAACCAACTCAAATTTAATAAATAACCTAAATGGTACTACCAATAACAATAATAGTAATAATACAAATAATGTCAAAGAAAAAACACCAAAAATATTTAAAAGATTAATATTAAAAAAAAATAGAGCATCAGGTGTATTTAAACCACTCGCAACCTCTGCAGATTCAGATGAACTAAACCATAATCAAAGCCAACAACAACTTGATGATCTAATTTCAGAAGAATTTGAACCAAATTCATTATCATCGTCAGTTTCAACCAATACTCTTAGTACAGGCACCAACAATGGCACAATAGAAGAAATTGAGGCATTTGAAAAGAATAAGCAAAGAAAGAGATTGGGCAAAACCTTAAAGCAAATGATTAATAAACAAGAAAAAGAAAAAATTGAAAAAGAGAAATTAGATAAGGAAAAAGAGAAACAAGAAAAAGCAGAAAAAGAAAAAGCAGAAAAGGAAAAAGAAAAAGCAGAAAAAGAAAAAGAAAAAGCAGAAAAAGAAAAGGAAAAACAAGAAAAATTAGAAAAAGAAAGATTAGAAAAAGAAAAGGCAGAAAAAGAAAAAGAAAAGGAAAAACTTGAAAAGGAAAAAGCAGAGAAAAAACATAAAAAGATCAAAGGATTATTTGGATCCAGAAGTTCATCCAAGGAATCACTGCCATTTAAAAGAGATGTCATTGAAAAAGTTATTGTTCATCTTCGTGAAAACTCATTAAACACTGAAGGTATATTTAGATTGTCTGGTAATATGGATACAGTAAGAGGTATAGTTAAATCATTTGTTCAACATGCCGAACCAAACCTTTCATTTGAAATTCACAATATCAGTAATGCACTCAAGCACTATCTTCGTGCATTAGACCCACCATTAATTCCATACGAATTCTTTTCACCACTTTTAGACGCCAGAAGAAATGAAGATGCTGAAACAATAAGAAATATATTTTGGAAAATACCTGCCGATAATCGTATAGTGTTAACCCAATTAGCTGAACTAATGGTTTTAATCTCGGAAAATAGTAATGTAAATAAAATGAATTCAAAGAATCTTTCAATTGTATTCGGACCAACTATTTTGAAACCACGTACACCAACACTGGATAGAATGGCATTAATGAATGAAACTCAGCTTCAATGTGGTATCATTCAAACATTTATCGAAGATTTCCATTATATATTTTCAGAATTCCCTACAAGCGGCCCAAAGTCATTTAACCAAGATAATGAAGATGATGAAAACAACACCAATAATAACGAGGAAGTAACCGTATCGTCATATAGTACACCTTCGAATAATACCCCATCATCGCCATCACCTCCAAATGGCTCGCCATATTTAAATCCAACTACCTCTTCCTCACCATCCTCAACCTCGTCAAACTCTTTAACCAGTAATAATAAAATAAATTTAACAACCAGTGCCGATAACCAACAAAATAATAACACATCAAACAACAACAATAATAATATTTTAAATGATAGTAATAATAGTAATGGTAGCAGTAATTTTGAAAATAATAACACGATATTATAATTTGTAAAAGAAATAAATTTTTTTGTTTTATAGAAACATAAATAAATATTTTTTAAAAATTTAGAAATTATCTTTAGATACTAAAAAAACAAAGAGAAATAAAAAAAAAAAAGTAGTTATAACAATATTATTTATATAACCTTTGTTAACAAAAAAAGAGTGAAAAAATAAAAGTTTTTAAATATATATATTTTTAATTTTAAGTTTTTTTTTGATTTTTTTTTTATGATACTATTTTTATTTAGCTGTTTATTATATAAAATAGGTGAAGTAAAATGTTTATAAACGTCTACCTCTGTGACCTGATTTTCTACGGGTGCTATCTGTATATTTTTGATTTTTATTTGATGATATGGATTGAGTTGAGTTGATTTGGTTATTATTGTAAAGAAAATTATATTAGTAATCATATAATTGAGTAGGAAGTAAAGTTTATAATATAATTTCAACATACCAGTTGGGATACCAGTAACATCTTCGATACGACCGATTCTCATACCTGAACGGGCAAGAGCTCTTAAGGCTGATTGGGCACCTGGACCTGGGGTTTTTGAACCATTACCACCGGTAGCTCTTAATTTAATGTGGAGAGCAGTGATACCGATTTCTTTGCAACGGGCAGCAACATCTTGAGCAGCCATGGTAGCAGCGTATGGTGATGATTCATCACGATCAGTTTTAACTTTCATACCACCAGTAACACGAACGATGGTTTCTTTTGATGAAAGATCAGTGACGTGCTAATAATAATAATTAAAAAGAAAATCCTATTAATAATTGTTCTTGACCTGTTATCCTAAACCTGTATCCTGTATTCCTATATAATCAACTTACGACGAAAGTATCATTGAATGAAGCAAAAATGTGAGCAACACCAAAGACTAATTCGTTACCAAGAACTGGGATTCTGGCTGATAAAGCTTCAACAACTTTTGGGGCTTTTACTTCTTTCTTTCCTGACTATATTATATTTATTGTTTATTTATGTTGATTATATTGTGATAATTGATGATAAATGGAGATATATTAATAATTATGTTGGATTGACTACTATAAAGATAGATTGAAGAAGATTAATGATAATCTATATTGGATAGACCATCATAGATTCGCCATGTAATAAAAAGAGATAGATAAATACCATTTTTTTATGTGATATCGAATGCGAAAAAGGACGAGAAAATGTAAATAAAAAAATTTTAAAAAAAAAAAAAAAAAAATTTTTTAAAATTTTTTTAAAAAAAAAAAAATCTTTAGGCACAAATTGAAAATTTCTATAGACGTTACATATAAAATAATTTTTTTGCATACATCCCAATTTGAATATGATTTTTTTTTTTTTTTTGATAATATTAAAATATTACTATTTATAAATTTATTTCTTGAAGTATTTAAATGTCAAATTATATTATTGGTTTTTTTTATTATAAATGTGAAGCAATAGCAATTTTATTTCTAAATATATAAAAAAAAATTTTCGTTTTTTTTTTTATTTTTTTATTTTTGGTATTTTTATAAATTATTTTTTTTAATTTATTTTTATATAAAAAAATTAAACACTAATTATATAAATAGATATATTGTTTTAAAAAAAAAAAAAAAAAATTAAGAAAAAAAAAAAAAAAGGGAAAAAAAAAATAATTTTTAAATTTTTAAAATTTTTTTAATTTAACAAAGATTAAAAGTTATATTAAACAAACATACACAAATACATAATACCAACTTGCATATATACAATTCATAAAAATATTAATATATAGGCAGTAAATATTAAAATAATAAATAACAATAGTAATAAAATAATAGTATATTATGGATAATACACATGTAAATCAATCATTGGTTGTATTTGTTTTAGGTACTACTGGTGTCGGTAAATCAAAGTTGGCAATCGAATTAGCAAAGGAATACAATGGCGAAATTATAAGCTCAGATTCAATGCAACTATATAAAGATGCAGGTGACATTACTACAAATAAAGTAACTACAGAAGAAATGCAGGGTGTACCACACCACATGATGAGTTATTTACCAATGGATACTTTAAATTATAATGTTGGTGATTTTACTTTAAAAGCAATCGAAGTTGTAGGTATCTAATTTTTTATTATTTTATAAAAAAATAATAAATAAAATTATCAACATTAACTTTAATTTTTTTTGTACATAGATTAATGACATCATATTAAGAGGCAAGTTACCAATTGTTGTCGGTGGAACCCATTATTATACATGTTCATTGCTATGGTCCAATTCAATTATTAGTTATGATAACGATACACCAAAGGTAAATGATAGTAGTAATGATATTGAGAATTTAGACAAAGAAAAATACTCTTTTGAAAAGCTAAAAGAAATAGATAGTGTTATGGCAGAGAAGATACATAAAAACGATATAAGAAAGATTAAGCGTAGTTTAGATATTTTTTATAGTACAGGTAAAAAGCAAAGTGATATAATCAACACCCAATTCGAATCAAAGAAATTAAGATATCGTTCATGTTTGTTATGGTTAGAGTGCAAGGATCAACAGTTATTAGAAACTAGATTGAACACAAGAGTTGATGAAATGATAGAGCGTGGCTTGATCGAAGAGGTATTCAATATATTCAAACATCCATCTATAACGCAGGTAACCACAGAGAACTTTACTAAGGGTGTAACTCAGGCAATCGGTATCAAAGAGTTATACAACTATTATGTATTGTTAAACCAGTATAACCAAAATGAAAAAGAGTTTAAATCAAAATACAACATCATTAGCAATAATATAACAGGCACAACCACATCATTAATATCGTCCAATGATACCAACTCCTCAGCAACCACACCGACCATTGATAAAGAGAAATTAAAGGATGAAAAAAAACTAAAAAAAGAAAAAGAGCAGTTAAATAAAGAATTATTCAATGCCATTTCAGAAATCAAATCCCACACTAAAAGATACGCAATAAGACAGGTTAAATGGATATCTAAATTATCACCAGAGAATCAATTGGAAATTTTAAAATTGGATAGTAGCGATTTAGCTAAATGGAATGATAATGTTTTTCAAGTCTCAAAAAATTATTTGGAAAGTTTTTTAACAAATTCTAATTTAAATGCATTTAATATAAATAGTAATAATAATAATGATAATAATAATAATAATAAAATCAATAATAATGATAGTGATGGTATTGACACAAACTCAAATACGGTTAATATTAAATTAAACAATACTTTAAAAAATTGGAAAAAACATTATTGTGAAATATGCGAAAAAGAAATAAATGGTGATCATGATTGGTCCTACCATATAGCTTCAAAGCAACACAAATCCCATTTGAGGAAAAAAAGAAAATTAGAAGAATTTAATAATTCAGTTATAGATTATAGTAATATTAATAATAATAATAATAATAATATGATAATA